GCCTCTGAGGCTCCAGGATAAGGGGGCAACACATCTCTCACCATCTTACGCTGCTGTTAATTACTTCCAAACAGCCGGCTTCGCCTTTCTTGCAATCATGCCACCAAATTGGATGTTTTTATTAATTTAAGCCGAGGGAGTAATGTAATTACACATAATGGGATAACTCTAATCTTATTGTAAAAATACATAATAAAAAGGGGATATTTAGGAAATTACCATAAGAAATGACATTACTGGTTCTAAGCAGTGGATGTGTAACGGATTAGCTTCATTTTTTAAAGTAACCCTCAGACGCCCTGATTAAAGCAAATAACGTGAGCTTGTGAAAGTGTGTGGAAGGAGGCTGGCGGGAGCAGACATGGGGGAGAAGGTTTGTCTCGTTTCTTCTCTGTTCACTCAGTCTGGCCACGGATCGGGAACAGGTTGCTGAAACAAGAAAAAGCACTTGATGCCCCCCCTTACCCACCCACCCACCTCTGCCTCCCGCTCTCCAAATACCCCCAATAGCCGGAGAATCAGTGGTTAGCAGTGAGTCCCGAGCGTCATCAGATATCCATGCTAAGAGCTGGTGGTCTGACCAGGGCTGTCCCAGTGTGACGGACACTAGGTGAGCGGTTTCAGTCTGTGACTGAACACTCAAGGCTTTTCATGGTGATGAACGGAGAAAAAAAAAAAACAACACTCATTATAACTGACTGGTAGATCTTATTTACAATGAGCTTGGATATTTAAACCAGTATTTACTGCTGTTATATATCTATATTCCAGCTGCATGCAAAGTGAGCAGATAGCAAATCGAAATGCATGTTTTGCACTGTTCTGTATTAGCCAGAAAGTATGCAATACATTTACTGATGAAGCTTAAGAATTATTTAAGAGAACGAGTGAAGTTAAATGGAGAAAAAGACGTAGTAGTTAAATATTGAAGATAACAGCAAGGACATGGAAGAAGGTAAAGATGAAGCAGAGCTGATACAGTCAATCATTAATCAGTTAGTGAATCATAAAATTAATCAGCAACTACTTTGGTGGTTTATTTTAGTTCAGCAAAAACCTTTTTTTTCAAAGCTTTTAAAATAAGTTACTATTACTACTATGACTTTTCTTACTCATACATAGCAGTAAGTTGAATATGTTTGGGTGTTAGACTAATATGTGCATAAAACAAGCAAGTTGAATACGTCACATTGGGCTGTGGGATATTACAATATGCAGGTTTTATTACATTTAATGAACAAAATAATTAATTGTTTAATTGACGGAATAACTGGCAGATAATTTGATAATGAAAATGACAGTTACTAACAGCCTTACATCTCACAAGTGAAACTCTTTTTTCTTCTTTTTTTTAAAAACAAATCTAACTTTGAAATCACAAATTCAATCAATACCTGCTTTTGTTTTCCAATGTCTCCTACCTATATCATCATCAGTGTAATATTCTCCAGTACCTGTTTTTCTTTCTACATTGCCTTGTGAGCAGTCAAAACAACAGCGCACTCAGAACTCAAGTGTTTTTTAGTATGCAGAGACTTTTGCAAGTAATTTTCTCACTCCCCAGAGAGAACGGACTGCATATTTAAAACCAGCTCAGAATAAGTATTAAGTTTGGAATTAAGACACAGCGTGTGCTTTTTAGGATCTCTGTAATGTACCGGTGACATATTCAGGGTGTTTTTTGTGGCTCACACATGCTGGAATAAGGCCTGAGTACACCAGTGACCCTGAACCAGAACAGTCTAGTCTGAAAAACCTACGACAGAATGAGGTTTATAATTTACTCAAAAGACAGAATTCTCTTTCAAGCTTTCTGTGTTCTTAAACATTAATGTCATGTCAAATCATACGTTTGCTTTGTCAGGTTATGTGACTTTTTGGGGCTGTAAATGTATTCCAAGCACTCTGGTCAGAAATCAGTCTATAACGGATTTTTTTCTAAACTGGTATCACAGGTCTAAGTGACCTAGTCACTAAAAGCTGGTAAACACTGTCATTAGGCGACTTGTTTTTCAGTTAGAACCGAATAGGGTGCTATTCCTGGTGAAATGCAACTGTTACGACCTGTGCACGCAAGGACACAGATAATGATGAATAATAATATCTTATGTCAGCCATTAGATATTAGCTTAATTGCTACAGTAATACGAATAAAATGTATTTCTTTCTCTGTCACTTTTTGGTTCATTTTCTAGGAGTGAGTTCAGCAAAAGGTAATATTAGTTTCATTAATGTTAAACACAGCTGAGCTTATTACATTTTTGTCTTTTAAGTGCAACGTTGCTTTGAAAATATAACAGAAAAATGAAACAAATCTGACTCTTTTCTGAGAGCTAAATACTACATCCTGACTTTGTGTTTACAGAACTAATGCATCAATAAGAAAGTGGCAAGAAACAATAATTCTGAAGCACTAATTATATTATATGTATGTGTTGTGTTACTTTGCAGCATCCTGAGTTGTCTAATGTGGTTTGGTAGATGATGATTTGTCTCCCCCTTAGGGTTATTAACCAAACTGTCCCCCCTACATCTTGTAGCAAATGAATCCTTGTATATTTGAGTGACAATTTCAACAGAGCACCTTTATGCAAACAAACGTCTACTAGCGTCGTTAATAATTGTTGCAATTTACTCATGAAAAATGCAGGTTTGTTTAATTTAATCTGCAAAATCAAGAGCAAACGTACTTGTTTTGTGTGCATTCCTTTGCAATAGTAAGCCAGGAGTGTATATAGTCAAGACTTGAGATTAATATTTTTTTTTTTATTCCACGCTCGTTAATATGATCAACAGTTATCCCTCTGTACTCCGCTAAAGCTAAAATGCTCCCCAGTGGATGGTTGGTGGGTCAGTGAAGGCTGAGGGCTATCAAAGCAGTGTATTAAAAGGAGCTCTTTGAAGCTTGTAAACCACGGTGCCCAGCAGGTCCACAACAGACAGACGCCTCTGATTGGTCAGGTGTGTGCGTGTGTGTTTTTTGCTAGATCGATCCACCGAGCTGACATTCTGGAGCATCAAAGCTTTCAGTGCACTAATCTGACTCCTCCTATGAGGGCAAGGGTTGTTTTTATTATTTTCCTTTTTTGTCTAAGAAATGCTCATACCTTGGTGGGGCTACTGCATGCTTATGATATTGAGAGTGGGCAAACCATGCGTTCTAATGCTTTGAAAGGGAATGAAAGCATATTGAAATCCAGATTGGACACTGTATTTATCAACTAATAAATAATGCAACACTATAGAGAGAGATGGGGAAAGGAGCAGAGAATCACAGGGCCATCCATTGGACATACCATTGGCAGCAGAGTAGTGACACCGCAGAGATTCACACACCGCTGCTCCTCAAAGTCAGTTTCCCTTCACACTGTCTCTGGAGACCTGCGCCACATACACACTCATGAAAGGTGTGAAAATCTGATTTCCCAAAAAGGATCGGTAATTCTCTGTGAGGGTGGAAGCCGCAATCAATAAATCATTGCTAAGCAGATTGTAAAGAAAAAAAAAAATTATTCCCCCTTGGTATCAGTGCATTAGGATTCTCCTGAGGATGGATGAGGCAAGACGGGGGTGTGAGACAATCTCAATAAAGAAGAGGCAAATCATACCGTTGGCATTCATCTGGACTCTGGCAAGCAGCTGTCAGCAGAGTGACGAAGGACCACAGGAGTCGACCAATATCTGAAGGCTTGATTTAGCCACCGTGTCCAGGAATGTCTGCAAATATGCAAAACCAATGACTAGTGTGATTGAAACACGCATTAAAAATCATTTAAGATGGTTTTTTATGTGTAAAGTTTTGGTTGTTTGCATGCGTTTTTAATAAAAGGATTTTTCTTTGTTGGTGATGGGTTCAGAATTCCCTCCAAGAGCTGTTCAAGAGTGGAAAAAAAAACTAGTGCGGTGCTGTACAATTGTCTTTTATGCCACTTTACCCATGAAAATACTGTACATTTTACTTTAGAGCATTTATCTGACCGCTAACATTAATTAATCAAGATAAAAGGGCCCATTCTGCACAATATGCACTTTTAAGTTTTGATAATAACGCTTGTATCCATGCAGTTTTGTTCCTCACACAATCAAAGAGGACATATATAATTTAATACTGCTTTTTACTCAGTGGAGGAGGTACCATATAAGTTAATCTTCTGTATTCTGCAGATCTACTTACATACATGTAGGAACGTGTAAAAAGCACCCATTGTAGAGCAAAAATACCATTTTAAGTGTCATATTATACTGCTTGTTTTTAATTATCATGGGTTAATTGATGTATATGGTAGTTTAATGTTGTATGTGGCTGTTGTGAAGGTGTCTGACCTGCTACTACTGGATTAAAATACTACATTTATTATATGTTTTGAAGGTGAAAAGGGTAAACAGCAAATGTAGTGAAAGCAATTCACAATATTTCTTCTTAAAATGTAAGATAAAAGATATATGAAGTTAAATAAAACTGAAATACTCCAGCAGTACCACTGGTACTTGAGTAAATGTACTGACTTGGCTACTTTTCACCACATGATTTAATCTCAGCACCAATCAACCGTTTTATCCCGTTGGGAAAAGTTTGGAGGACAATAGTCCAGTTTTAATTTATAGCATTTGGCACCTGTTCAAACTGTTAAGGCTGGTGTAATAAAACGTCCGTGAGGCTGTGATTTGTGGTTTTTACATACCTGCTCTTGACGCAGTTCAAGACTTTCTCAGTTTCGCTTGAAGACATTTCCTTCAGAAACGTGCTGTCTGAAACGTGAAAAAAAACGAGTTTAAAGCGACTAAAACCTAATTTCAAACGTGCGCGGACTTTTTAGGACAAAAAATACAAAACACATGTAAGTTGTCACCTGTTCTTTTTATTAGTTGCTGAGTCCATCCCTCGTCTCGGCCGTTGGCGTCGCCCCTCCGTGTGGAAGACTTCAATACCCACAATGCCTCACGGCTTTGACTCAGTCATGTGATTTAACTTATGACAGGCAGCTGGCTTCGATAACAACAATTCACTTTGTTGTAACGTTATAGTGGACATTTTTAGGCACAAAACACACATTGAGCGGATTTTCAACATGTGTTTTCGTCACACATGTTGAAATATTATAACAATTGTCTTCGGATATACCGCTAACGAATCTAACAATGGCGGAAGTGGAGGAAGAGGTAAGCACATCATGCTAATGCTAGCTGGCTAATGTTGATGTTTTATACATAGCTGCATCAAAACACACCAGAAATGTTGATAAACATGTTGTCAGCTGCTTTTTGTTATGATATGGCTTGTTATATGACGTGTCTGTAGCGTGGAGGGGATAAAATCGGGATGTTAGAGCTTGACAGTGGTGCTATGTCTGTATTTAATCTCCAAAAAAATGCAGTAGTTTAAATGCACATGCACCAGCCTCCAAATGTAAACTTTGGTGTCTTACTTTAATCAAAACTCAACGTGTCTCTTCATTCAGGGAAGGAAACCAAGTGAGGAATTCACAGATGAGTCTGAGGTAAGAACCGCAGCTGCTGTATCATTATGTGCTGCCATTTTTTATTTATTTTTTCCTGAAAAGACGCATGTTAGGATGACTTTATATCCGTAAAGACAAGCTTATAAAGATGCACAGCAATAAGGAAAAACTAGACCTAAAAATGTCATGCAGTTGCACCACTATGTTGATGTAGAAATGCATCAACAGCAACATATTGTCAGTGTCAGGGGTGTGCATAGTTCTGTCAAGCATGAGTGATTTCTGGACTCAAATAAAGCTTCCTGCTTACTGAAAGGACTGTAATACATAGGCAGCCTTTATCAGCACAGCTTGATCCCTGAAGGATCTTTGTCAGGTTTTTGAGAGGTGTCAAACACTCATGAATTACAGATAGCTTTCCAGATCCATCAATAGTATGACTGAACTTTGGCATGTTACAGTACACCTGTGCTTCTGAGAATCACACATGGGCTAAATAAAATATAACATTACACATCAACCTGGCAGGAAGGGGGATTTGTCTTTATAGGAAGCAGAGAGTGGAATGAAATATAAGGGATAGGCTGCGTTGGACACCTGCACCTCTCTCAAGAAAAGAGTTAAGAGTGAGCTGAAGGAAAGCAGAAAAATTCCAGGCTTGTAAATAGAAAGAGCTCCTACATCTTGTTTTCTCTCTGTGCGCCATGTGTTCAGGACTGTAGGACAAAAACACTCGCAGGAAAACAGCACTACAGACTGTGGGGTTGTGTGTCTCCTCCAAGTGGCTGCAAACAGCTGATTATTTGCTTAGAATGCTGCAATATACTGCAGCTGGCCTGGTGTCTGCTGCGGTTGACAGCGGTGTTGCTGGGTGAAGGCAGTAAGGTCTGTTTGCTGTACACCGAAGAAATGAGCAGGGTAACAATTTGTCAGAATTGTGGCTTTGGATAAACAGAGGTTTACTCGTACCTGGTTTTATAATTTGTAATTCTCAGACCACTTTGATTTGTGATGGCAAAATGCAGCAGCAAGCTTGCTGAGTGTCTTTGCTTGATCTTGTTTTGATGCCTAGTGAAGGAAAGATGTTTAATTTTTAACCGTGGAATACCAATGATCAAACCCTGAGACAAAATAGATAAAAACAGTATATTATTGAACTGATTTTCCTCACTTTATGCCCAAAACCATTTATTTTAATTCATACTTTAACCTTTACAATTTTTTCCTTGTCATTACAACTTGTCTGATCAATTCTTAGTTCACTTTAACCCTCTGAACCCCAAAACAGGCCATCACGTTTGTGTTTTCTTTAAGAACATCACCAAAATTAAACTATTTATCACAGCTAGAAACCGTAAAACAGAAAGAATTGTTAGATTTTCAGCTTTTACATGCTCTTGTGAAAAAAAATTTCCTTCAAAGATTTACCAAACTTAAACCATTTGCAGTAGACTCTGTAAAAAGGGGGAGGAAAAAGGAAAAATAATTCCTCAGAACAGCCGAGAAGCTCCGACTGATTTAGCTGTAACCAACAGTCATGTGACAAGAATTCAGAACTTCTCAGGTGGCTTGCAGGCTGTGTTTACACTGAGCAGATGGGAGACAATAATAGGGATTGAGAGAGAAATGCTGAATAAATAAAATAAATGCAGCGTGACTCAAAAACAGTATACAGAATACCAAATCATCAGCAAGTTGTTGGAAAAAACATGCACCATGGTGAAACATCTTCAAAGAGGGAACATGCAGACAAATGCTTGATTTGTAGAGGTTGTATGATGTAAACAGGTTTGTCAATTAATTTGGAGACCCCATTTTTATCCCCAATATCTGTAACACCTGTGGACAAAACAAAAACAACCTGTGAAAAACAAAAATGTTGCACGTGTTAATTCTTCATTCTTTCATTTTTGTCTTTTTTGTTCATAGTTTTTGGCATTACAACTCTTTCACAGAGCATAAAAGGCAGACTTTTGACCTCCTTGAACATCCTTGAACCATGGTTGTGCTGTTTCCATACAGGTGCAGGACTTTATATTGCAGTGAAAAATGAGCCCACAGTGACTAAAGTTCAGACAGGACACTTTGTCAATTTTACCCATTTATTTGGGATCACAGGCATTTGAGTTTGGCAGTGACTCTGCTCGAGTGATGCTCTGGAATAATCTGAGCAAGCGTGACACAGATAATCCCTGAGATCACAAACCCCCCCCAGCAGAGCCTTAAATTCACAATATTCAAATAAATACAGTATAAACACAAGAACAAGGAGACAAACTAAATGGGCTTCACTTTACAAAGTCCAGATTACATAGTTCCAGGGTACAATAATGAACCATCTGCATCCTGTAGTCCCACGATGTGGGAAACAACCGGGGTTATTCACTGAAATTCAATTCAATTCAATTCTCAATTCAATTTTATTTGTATAGCGCAATTTACAACATATGTCACCACATAGTGCTTGACATGGTAAGATGAACACCTTGCAAATTTAAACAGAGAACCCAACAATCCAAAGTTGCCTTTGGACTCTCTGAGCAACCTCCGGCAGAACCAGGCTCAGGAAAGGCGGCCATCTGCCTCGACTGGCTGGGTGAGAATGATTGGTTATTTAATAGATGGTTATGAAATTGAACTGTTTTAAAACAGGAGGTGGTTAGGGAGGAGGAGGCGATTTGTCGATCTGCAGAGGCTGGTGAGCCGGAGGACCGGGTAGAATGAATGAACGCCGCCTCAGTTATAAAGCACACTAAGTGGGTGGGCTGGACTTAAGCAATGAACGATTGGACCGAAAGGGCCTTGTGACGCCCTGACTCCGTGCCTGTCTGAACTAACACATAAGCCAGGGGTGTCGACATCCGGTCCTCGAGGGCCGCAATCCTGCATGTTTTAGATGTTTCCTTCTTCCACCACACCTGATTCAAATCATCAGGATCGTTATCAGACTTCTGCAGAGCTTGATGATGAGCTGATCATTTGAATCAGGTGTGTTGGAAGAGGGAAACGTCTAAAACATGCAGGATTGCGGCCCTCGAGGACCGCAGTTTGACACCCCTGGCATAAGCTCTATATGTGTGGGCAGCAAAAACACCCATAAACTTCGTTGGAGTTCAGAGAGTTAAAGAAAAAAGAAAGAATAACTGGTTTCTTTTGGTACAATTTACTCCCATAACATGCTCTTAAGATGCTCCAAAAACACAAATGAGTCTTCCTTGATTCTAGCTTTTGTCTTTAAAAGAGATGTTGTAACGAATATGACAAAATATCACAGACGAAGTGAGCAAGATGAGAAAACAAAAGGGCAAATTAGAAGAAAGCCAGTTACAAAATACACTTCGATGGTCCCAAAAAGCACACAAGGAAAGGTTACAGCAGGAGCTTTAAGTCACAGAGAAGTTTCTGCAGCTCTGTTGGAAGCATTAACAACACTGATTTACAGCTCATCTTATGTGGTGCTTTTGTAATACAGCACTTGAGTCACATCATTTTCACATGTGCTGTGTATGCTGTAGAAACATCTGTAGAAACATCTGCATTGGTTTTGTTTGTCTTGTGTTTGAGACGGATGATGTAGGTGTCAGGATGATTCTTTTTTTTTCTTCTTTTTTTTACATTGAAGGGGACATGCCTTCTATTCTCATCCTAACCATTGCAGTGGTGCATGTAAAGCAGTATTTTACACACAAGCAAAAGCTCAACCTGTTGTTGTTTTTTTACCAGCCAACAGGCAAAGAAAATGGCAAAAATGGTTACAACACAAAGGCCAGCTCAGTAGTTGACAAAACAAAGAGCAACTTACAAGAGATGGCAAAAGTTTTAAAATGGGTAGTTTCTCTCTGGGGATGAAGTTTTCCTTTGTTGTTTGATACGCCTTTGAAACCCGTGACAAATGCCCTCGCATCAGAAATCTCACAACCAGAATACACAGGAAATAGCCTAGATATAGCGTTGTTGAGTGGGAAAGGATTGTTTTTGAAAATAACATTTTTTCCACGCTATTGTCCCCCACCTCCAACCCAGTAGCACATAATGGCAGACAATGTTTTGAGTTGATGCACCCTCTGGGCAGCCACAGACTGTGCAGCATTGGTTATAAACTGAATTATGAGTAATATTCAGGCTGTGACTGGCCGCAAATGTTGACTCATGCTGGAAAGTGTAACACAGTAGAATACCTTAAGTTTGCTTTATGAAAAAGACTAAATTCATGTATTTTCACTGGGGATGAACAGCCTCATGAAGAGATGAAAATTGTTTTATCCTGCATTTCAAACAAGGTAATGGAAGTTTGTCTTTGTGCATATATCTCCTCATACACACATGTGCACACACCAGCCTCCCAAAATGAATTAGATACATATTATTAGTTATTGGGGCTTGGAAATTGTTGTAGGAATGCTGCCACTTACTGTTGTGCCTTTTTGATACACTAGTATTGTGTATGCAAATGGATGAACAGGAGAAAACGAGTAGACAAATATATGTTTTGATCATTTTGCAAGCCAAATACTCTCTGGTTCCAGACACTCAAATATAAAGATTTAATGCTTTTCTTCATCCAATGTCATAGTTAATTACATATGTTTGGTTAGAAACGCTTCAGCAGAAATAGAATCTGGCTTTTTAGAATAATATACTGGGGCTTTTTATTCTATTTTATTTTATTTTTACAATGTTTCTTATGTGGTGGACAAAATGATGCCTCAGGACATAAAAGTCAGCTGTTTACTCTGAGCAGCCCTAAATGGATGTTTAACCTTGTTCTAGATAAATCTAGATAAATGTTGACTCATGTTATCCCAGATTCTGTCTGGAATTTGTTAAAAAAAAAATAAGCAAAAATCAGCTGATGTCTGCAACAAATCCTTAAAATGACAAGTCATCTGTTTATGGACTATTTTTTTGTTATGTCATTGTGATGATAAGATAGTAGGATGTAATAATTTATCAAAATTCTCCGGTCAAATTTGAAATTCCAAGCAAAATATAGATTATCTATATTATATATATGTATTATGTAAGTAATTAAATTGGATTTTTTCATACAATTTAATAATTGTGTAAGAAAAATATCCTTATTCATGTTTTAATGTTGCGTTTTAACCATTTCGCTCTTCAAACACTATTATTTAAAGCTTATTTTAAGTGTGATGGACTTAAAGGTGCCCTGTGGAGCATTCTTGTAAACAACCAAAAGTTATATTTGCATTTTTGAGGGCTGCATGATTTGATTTCAATTTTGGCTTCTTGCAATAAACTGGAGGCAGCGCTCTATTTAAATGTAAAAGTCGTTTTAAAACACAAAATAATCACATTGAGTAAATGTGATCCAACGTTCATCAAACTAATTCTCATTTTAGGGGTTATTGTGCAGCAGTGCAGTTGCTGTTTCTCATCCAAACACTTGTCATAATACACTTGTGCTGCTGATTTTTAAGCATTTAAAACTACCTTTGTTGGAGCATTATTAGTGTTTTTTTGGGCGTGCTTCCACCACCAGGAGGGAAAAAATGTAAATTACTTCGCACACGTTTCTACACATCTGCACGCTTGACTGCTTGCATGTATGAACCCAATGAAACAGGGATCCAAATATTAAAATGCTGCTCTGGAGAGCCACTAGTGGTCAAAAGCTCAACAGGGTGCCTTTAAGCTGCACTGGGAGCATATGAAGTTATGCTGCCTTCTTGTAAAAGTTTTCACTTTTTTTTTTTTTTTTTTAAATCAAAGATCACGTTTGAAGACAGAACACTATTGGAGGTGAACATTTTTTTTTTTTCAAAATTTCAGTTCACTGCATGGCTTTCTAAAAGCATTGGCAGCTGCAAAGTTTGTGAGGTGACACTTCTGTGATGAATACCTTTAAGAGAATGTTACATCTCAGGAGACTGCTTTCTCCACCAGGAGGAGGACAGCGAGGAGGAGCCCAAGCTGAAGTACGAGAGGCTCTCCAATGGGGTGACAGAAATCCTCCAGAACGACGCAGCCAGCTGTATGACCGTCCATGACAAGGTAGACGTTATAATCCGCCACCCACAAGGGCATTTCAGCTTCAAGTCCACCCATCTCAAGAAGAGATTTCACATTGTTTATGAACACATTTGAGAGATGTCATCTTCAAAGTTGGTTTCCATCCCTTCTGCTCAATCTGTAAAGGCAGGCCATTCTTTTCTCACCTTCCCCTGCTTTTCCTCTCAGGGAGGTGCATCAAAAGACACCAGGCGCCATTGTCTTCTCCCCTTCTTATTCCCACTCTTACGTATTTTTCGCTCCTCTCCTCTTGTTTGTCGAATGTTGATATTTTTAAGAGGGCCACTCTCGGCGAGATGTTTAATCGTCGTGGCACCAGCAGCACACTTGCACGCCTGAGCAGAGCAAAAGTCATACCCAGTTATGTCTCCTCACCTGATGTTTTATTAACCACTATTGATTTTCATTTATTTATTTTTACTTTGAGGATTTGGTCTCTTCTTTTTTTAACCTCAACACAGCAGCCGTGCCGCGGTGCGAGACTGCTTTGGTGAAATTCTAAATTTGATGTGACTGTCTTTCTTCCTGGGATTTCTGTGCTTATGTACCTTCTGCCATGCAGCTACCTGTGTGTGTGGTCAGAGCAGCCCCCCCTCCGCCGTGGCAAACTCCCACCACCTTAAAGCCACACACGGCACATATTGCCTTATGTTGCCTCATATTTTAAGTGTCTGAATCGGAATTTCATTTGAACAATTCCATTCTGATAAATCCCTTTAAAAGTCGCTCCGCCTCACAAGGTTGAACCCTTTATTTATTTATTTTTGGTTATTTTATTTGGGGAGATTGCAGGGGCTCTGTCTGACATGCTCAGCTGTGCCTGTAAATATAAGCATTTCATTATAGACTGCACTGAAGCATGGTGGGCTCGCCGCACATCCACATGCTGGTCGAGAAGGGAGGGGGATTAGGAGGAGGGCATGGAGCAGGGGCTGGGGTGGAAGAACACACACTTAATCTAATGCCAAAAGCCCCCAGTTTCTATAATTTTTTTGTCCCGGTGGACCCACGTACACACTCGTACACACTCGCACACACACACACGTCCATATGCGCACGTGAGCTTCTGCTGAAGCACAAAACACAGAAACCAGTTGCTGCTCAGTAGAAATAATAGCTCTGCGCTGGGCAGGGAGGTGATTGGGTTGCATGGGAAGAAGTCAGATGTACAGTGCATTTATTATGCTTAAGCATTTTAATTTGAGGAGAAAAAAAATGCCATTTCACACTGTCTGCTTTAATAAATAGGGCTTTTCCACCCCCTGCAATTTCACAGTTTTGCCTCCAAGCCCACCCAATCCCCACTCTGCCCATGTCACTGCAGCTCCAGGAAATATTTTTTATCCTCTCCCACAGCCTGCTTAAACACAGGAGGTTTTTTTTTTCTTCCCTAAAATCTCAAACTGGTTGTCTTCTGCTTTAATTTACATCACATTTTTCTGCTTTCAGTTTCTCGCTCTAGGTACCCATTTTGGAAAGGTGTTCCTGCTGGACATCCAAGGAAATGTAACTCAGAAGTTTGAGATTGTGAGTACATTAAAATGATTAGATTCTTCAGATTTGCTTATACATGTCATACCATTTTAGGCTTTGTTAGCTCTATGAATACTGATAGTCTGTCAGTGGATCCACTGCTCTGGCCCAGACTGAAATACATCAACAACTATTGGATGGTTTTGCCACGAACAGACATTCAGGGTCCACGGTAGATGAATTGAAACCACTGTTGTGATTCCTTAACTTGCTGTCATCAGTTAGAAACTTAACAATATTAAAACTAATAGACTAATAAAGATCTTTGTTTACTTATTTTTGCATTTGTCCAACATAATGATGAACCTTTCAACATTTATGCTCCAGTGTCAAAAGGCTATTCCTCATTGGTAATGAGCTAACAAACAATAATAATCGACAGAAAGCTGAATATCTGATCCAACGACTTCTTAAACATGATGTCAAGTAGTTTTGTATTGACTCCATGTGAATGTTAAATCATTTACACTTACCAGTCTCTATTAGGCTGGTGAGCTTAAAGGTGAAAAACAAAGCAGCGTTTATGGGTATCCTGTTCCTCCCACCTTCAAAAATAATGGATTAATTGTGGAAGACTCCTGACGTAGCGCTTTCGTCCTTTTGTCCTCATCTGACCAAATTCTCATCGTTAAACCAAAGAGAATTTGATCAGATGAAAACGTATCGACCAGCCGGTCGACCTGGAGTCTACAGCCGCATTAACATACTGAGTCTAAACAACAGTGGCCCATAAAGCACTCTGTAGGATGCAAACCTCCTTTTGCTTGATGAAACTTCTAAATTCCTGAGACAAAGAACCAAGGACAGACCTCGGTGTCCACAGTGAGCTGAAGCCCTGCAGACAAAATGCTGTTAGTTTGAGGTTTCACATAGAAGGAAGATTTCACCAAAGTAATGTATGTGTGGAGTTTATAGCCAGAAATGACATTACATAATCCGATTTAGTGCCCCTGTTTACTTCCCCTGTACATTCTTGCTCCCTTTATCTGAAGGAAATAAACTCCCAGCAGTAATTTAATTTGCAAGTCTAAAATAAATCCGTAATCAGGGCTGATTTGGTCGTCACAAATGAGCAGTTTTACATCACATTGCTGGACCTGCACTTCTGACTGTAGTGTTCCTGCTGAGCATGTTGATTCAAGTGCTTCTCACCTAAAGAACGCGTTGCCGGTTATCAGCCGTTGCCCGAAAGAAACAAGGAAGTTGTTTTTCTAAGCAGAAGAGACGCCGCTGAATTCCGGCTGCTGGATCTGTTTCAGAATGATCAGATCAGAAGGATTTCATATGATGACCAAATAGGTGCTGCAGTGGAGACATTGTAAATGTATGATACGCAAAACAACTTCTTTTTTTTTTTGCCTTACTCCACACAGAGGCACCGGCGTCTTCACTTCAGGGATGTTTTTGAAGCAACATTTGCTGTAATTTATGCCATTTGGTTGATCCTTTTATCTTAAGAGCCCTAAATTTAAGAGCACCAGCAGTGGAAGGGACCCCTAACATTCTCAGTATTAGTGCACTCTCTATGCATTGACACATATGGGGCCATGCATCTATTACACACTCACTTTTTTTTGCCTTTTGCTTTTCCTGGCATTTCACTTAGTTGGGGTAAAATGTCAGCCAGCAACATTTGGCCAGCCACAATGATATTCGCCCACCTCTATAAAAAAGATGCTGTGATATTGTGTCTCCTCAGAGTTCGGTGAAGATCAACCAGATCAGTCTGGATGAAAGTGGAGAGCATGTGGGCATCTGCTCCGAGGATGGGAAGGTGAGATCTCCCCCCCCCCCACCCCTCACTCATCACCGCTGGTCACTGATCCTTGGACCGATCGGTGTTTTTCATCTCTCATAATTCGTCTAAAACTCATCTTATCGGCCTTAAACTTTATGCTAATGATTTGGAACTTGAGCTGCTTGGGGAGTGAATTTTTAGAAGGCACTTCTTCCACAATCAGAGCATTAACCTGGAGTTTTATCTTCACCATATCTACACATAAAGCCATATTTTTTTCATGATGCGGGAATTTATAAAAAGCTTGTAACAATTTTGAAGAGTAGGGGGAAAGGATTGCACTCAGATCCGTCGAGCTGTCAGTCAGCCATCAGCCGTCTATGGATACCCTCTCCATGTTCTCCACCTTGCTGTTATCTTGTCTCTTCTCATCATTACCACCATCCTTCATGGATTTTGCAGTCAAGATATGCTCTCTGATATCGCCCTCCCCCTACTTCCAGCACTCTGGTGGCAGAAAACAAGATCTTGTCGCACAAAAAGTGGAGCAGACAATTAAAATCAATGCTACAGCAATTGTTTGCCCTCACCAATTCAGTTGGCTTTTAATCCTTTGAAATCTAACTTAATCCCTAATCACTGATGCGGCTCAAGAAGAGAGATAGCATCAGAGTTTCATATTATTCCCACATCTTTAAAACATTTCTCTTTTTGGGGCTTCGGATAAAGGAAAAGTGGGTGTCATGTACTTTAATGGTACATTAGAGCCTACTGTAGCCGACTGAGGCTGCGGTCAAGTCTAAGATTAGGACTTCTGTTCTAAACCCTGCAGGGTTCAAAGAATCAACTTGTCCACTAATTGGTGACCCAGCGGAGAAGTAGGGAGCCAATCAAAGTGTTTTCTGACCGCTCTTCCCCCCGCTGGCCTCCGATAGTTGCAGAGGCAGCAATTAAAGGAGAAATTTTGAGTTATTCACCTTTCTGCTGCCTCGTCTCTGTTTCAGGTTCAAGTATTCGGCCTCTACACGAGAGAGGGCTTCCACGAGAACTTTGACTGTCCCGTCAAAGTAAGTTTTTTTTCTCGTCATTCACAGCGTTTTGTCGTACATGAGTTGTGTCATGACGAAAAGTCTAATTCACTCTCTTGAATGTTTTCTGCAGGTGGTTGCGTTACACCCTCAGTTCACCAGATCGAATTACAAACAGTTTGTCACCGGAGGCAACAAGGTAGGTTCAAATACCACTTTTTATTTGTGCATTCATTATGTGTCAGTGTTTTTTTTTTTGTTGCTTTTTTTTTTTACATTTCCTGCTGCAGTGATTCATCCTGATTGTGTCCGGGTAAAACCGAATCCTGCAAGCTGTCTCACTTTGGCTCGGCTGAAGGCGATGCACAGGCCTTTGTCTGGTGTGAAAGGCTCTTACTTTTCTGTCTCTTTGCTGGAGTGCTCTCGGGAGAGCTGCCCATTTTCACAAAGTGCTGTTCGCTCAACAGTGTTTGAAAGGCAATGCTTCACAAGCACAGCAAATAGATGTCATTATCAAGAGGGTACATAGTCTTTGGATTTCCGGGCGCATACAGTGATCTCTTTCCTGGAAGTTGTCTCTGGTAGATATGTCATTGCGGAAGGTGAAAAGTATTTTAGACATTAGATTTGTCATTTTGTTTTTCGGAAGTAGAACCAGCTGCCTATTACAGCACGCCTACTACACTACTATAAACTGCACTGATGTGGCGTCATTGCACAGCCGTCTATAAATAAAGTATACTGACATTTATACAACAGGGGTGAGGGGAAACTTTTTCCATGAAACTCCATTGTTAGTGCCATTTTCGTTCAATTGGCGCTGATTCCTCTCAGCTCCAAGTTGTGAAGGCCTCCACAAGGTGCCTGTGATGAAAATCAATAAGCCTCAACGGGAGCCACATCCTGTCAAAGGAAATTCAATTTTGTCTCCCCAGTTCTTTTGTCATATCATCTCTTTGTAGAGCAAACTGTTTATTAACATAGCCCAACTGCTGAATTAAAGAGCCTATACAACCTTCTGGCGGCCTCCTTGGTAATATTATGCACTTTTTGGGCGCTTTTTTTTCGTATCAGTTTATATGGAGGGGACAGTAACAATGCAGGGAATGTGAATGACAGGCTTTGTCCTCTGCAGAATGTACAGTACAAGGCCTGAACATTAAACTGCTATTGATGAAGTCAGTCTGCAGCCCGTCAATGCCACGTTGCGTTGTGGTTAAAAACACACGGCACTCCCCGTACCTCTGTTAGAAGACATGTGAGTTAAACTATAGCATGAGCACGTAATGAACTTTTGTTTAAGGACTTACTTCTGAATTCCGCACCACTTAAAATGTCTAATAAATGGTGCGTATCCAAAAGAGGCTGTAGCCATTATGATGAGAGTAAGAAAGAATTTATGAAATCATTCTTGAAACGCATTTTCAACTCTTCCTTTATGGTTTTTAACACCATCTCTGACTCACAAATCACATCAGCCAAGTGAATCCTCACAATGACTTCTCCCACCAGCGAATGTGAAGCTAATGTGAAGTCAAATGAGCACTCTGTCTTCATTTTCTTTGTCCTGAAATGCTCTGAAGTGGAGTTAAGTCTGCGTTTAAGGGGGAAAATCAGGTTCATTATTTGCAGTTTAAGTTAAATCTGCTGCTTCTGCTTCATCCACGTAGCAGCTCGATCCTGTGCAATGTGCTGTTCATCTACTGCCCTCTGTAGGTGGAGCTGCGCTGCTGCACTCCTGAGTTGCTTTTCGGTGTTAAATGTTGTCCTGATTTCCTCCTCTAAGCTTCTTCTGTATGAAAGAAACTGGCTGAATCGCTGGAAGACGTCGGTTCTGCACGAAGGCGAGGGCACCATCACTAACATCCAGTGGAGAGCCAACCTGATTGCATGGGCCAATAATGTGGTGAGTGTTCTGTGACATCTACCTAACTCCAGTCACACTGTTTGTGCAATGTAAAGATGCTCATGTTATCCTCCTCGTGTTTTTTTAGGGAGTTAAAATCTATGACATCAGCACAAAGCAGCGGATCACCAACGTGTTGAGGGATAACGTAGCTTTGAGGCCCGACATGTACCCGTGCAGTCTGTGCTGGAAAGACAACACCACCCTTATTGTCGGCTGGGGTTCTTCCATTAAGGTTTGTTTCTTGTTCATTTGACCAAGTATTACAGGCACTGTGACTGTTTTTCATTGCAATTTTCTTTTTTTTTCCATCAGATTTGTGTCGTGAAAGAGCGAAATCCTACTGAAATGAGAGATCTGCCCAGCCGCTATGTGGAAATAGGTGAGAACCAGAGCAGCCGTCACAATAAAAGTCATGTTATCCTCTCAATATGAGGCAGCTAAAAAGGCTGACACTGTGAATTATACTATGACTATCACTTAAAGTCCCGCTCTGGTTGTTCACGAAGCCCCTGAAAACTCATCTCCATATATCAAAGTTACATATTTAGAAGTTTTTCAAGAACAAAAATAATGTGTTCCTTCCCTAAAAAGGCTTCAACACTGGACTGTTGCAGACCAATGAAGTCTCTTTGTCCATCCACGACTCCCTGTTCGCTGCAGCTCAGCACACCAGCTCACCTATAACTGCTGAAACACTGTAGTAAACTACTCTAAGCTACACACTGACAAGTCCTATTATTAGAGTAATTTAGCCAATGTTCACGCAGGAAACTGATTCTGATGACGAATAGTGATGCAGGAAGCCACACACTGACCGCTGACAGGTTTGGTTCCTGGTTTGTTATGAATCAAACCCAGGAAATCTAAAGCATCAAGGCAGAAATGCTCCGCCACGGTGAGGAGTGCTTATTTTACTCATGATATGTCTTCTGTTATATAAAAAAACACCAAATTGGCATGCTGACAAGATAAAAATCTTGGTGTTCACCAGAGGGGGTCTCTAATGAAGCCTGTGCATTGAATGAATTACCTTCTTGGTCATCCTTTGTTTCTGAATTCTGTTTGGCTTTCTTAGAATTGTATTATTACAATGTTATGATCCTCCAAATAGGATAAAAGTACAAGAAATATGTTTACTTAAGTACAATTTTTCTGTACACTACCTAAATATTTGTGCTTTGTGCTCAACCACAGTTGTTTGAAGCCTTAGTTACTAATTATTTTGCAGATTCAGATTATTATTATATAAAGGAAGTAGTAAATTATGGTATATTATTATTACATTATTACCCAGCCTTTTAAGGTATTTAAAGTTGGCATCAGCTGCAACATTAAAGTGATGTATGAACTGATGTATGATGTAATATATATGATTCTTAAATGGGCTTTAACTTTGGGTACTTTAAGTATATGTTGATGCTAAAACTTTTGTACTTTAACTTTAGTAGTATTTTGACAGCAGACTGCAGTAGAAGGCATTGGCTGAATGTAGCCAAGGACATTTACATAATTACTGTACTTAAGGATCATTTGTATTTAAGTATTTCTAAATACTGGCACTTTTTACTTCAACCCCGTTATATTTCAAATCCAGATAATGCACTTTAGACTTAACTCCATTTATTTTAAAGCTTTATTTACTAGAACTTTGCATATTAAGATGTTTAATATGTAAATCAGCTAATAAATGATAAAGTATTATTCTAGTTTAGGCTGTTCAGCAGTGTATGAAGTAAATAAAATTATCTCTACCTGCAACATTAGAGTGATTTATGAATCAGTGCTAGTAATCCAGTATTATAATATATATGATTTTGACATGGGTCATTCGGTCCAGTTCCTTTAACTTTAGGCTCTTTAAGCGTTTTTTGATGCTTTATTTTTCACTGTAGTACTTTTATTAGAAGAACCTGTCATTCAGCGGCATTAGATGAAGTTAAAGTGGTTGTCAGACTCAGAACAAAGCTGCTTTTCTCAGTTCCTAAAAAGTAAATCTTGTAAAGATGCAACATCAAAATACACTCAGAAAAAAACTGTGTTAAGAATCCAACATATGACTGCATTAAATGCACCATAAATAAGGACGATTTGATTCGGTTTCTCTTTCTGGTTCACTTTCACACATATTCCGCTGAACAGTTTCCTTCACAGACAGATAACAGGGATTCAGTTTAGCTGTTATAAAGCCAACAGACGTGTGATACAAAGCAAAGAATCGATATAATTAAATCCTGTCACCCTAAACCCCCTCAGCTCTCTTTATAGCTTCACTCAGTCGTTCACCTGTGAAATATTTCAAAGGTGTTTCTGCGTTTCTTTCAGTGTCTGCGTTTGAAACAGAGTTCTTCATCAGTGGTTTGGCCCCGCTGGCAGATCAGCTGGTCACACTGTTCTTTGTGAAGGAAAACTCCGATCAAATGGTAGCTATGATGTTTAAATACATATATAAAGGAGATATAAGTACAGAAAAGTACTTTATCACCCATCATATGTGTGTGTAGGATGAGGAGTTTCGTGCGCGGCCTCGTCTGGACATCATCCAGCCTCTCCCTGAGAGCTGCGAGGAGATTTCCTCAGACGCGCTGACGGTGCGCAACTTCCAAGACAACGAGTGCAGAGACTACCGCCTCGGTGAGACTATAAAACCCGCCCTGGCAGAAATGTCACACAGCCTTTTACTGCGTCCTGATTTCATTATGCATCGACTATCAAATGTCAGCTGTAATGCGCTGCACGCAGAGCCATAAATGTATTTTCATTAACAGAGCATGCAGAGGGAGAGTCGCTCTTCTACATCATCAGTCCCAAAGACATCGTTGTGGCCAAGGAGCGGGACCAGGATGACCATATTGATTGGCTGCTTGAAAAGAAGAAATATGAGGTTTGTGTTGTTGAACGGTACGAATGCTGCTAAAGGTTACGGTCGGATATGTCAGGGTTTAATTCTGTGTCCCGTTAATGTGGTTTAACTGTGACAGGAGGCACTGATGGCCGCAGAGATCAGCTTCAAAAACATTAAGAGACATGATGTTCAGAAAATTGGAATGGCTTACATCAATCACTTAGTGGAGAAGGGAGACTATGACAGCGCTGCACGGTAGGTTTTTATTTTTTACGTGTCCTGCAGATAAAAGGTGTGTATGAGATATTTGAAAAAGTGTATGTTGGTTTTTGTCCATATTACATAAACGTAATGCTATTTTCAGATCATCTATACAGAATCAGTGCAAGCAAGGTTATTTATGTATGTAAAATATGTAAAAAAAATAAATAAAAAAATAAAAAAACAACAACAAAAATACATACACATATGTAAAAACAAATGAATAAAATAAAACATGTAATAAAATTCTATTTTTAAAAAATGCTTTAAAACCATTGTAGACAGTTTGAATGAAGTGCACACAGATTTACAGAATATTTAAAAAGAATGAATTCCAGGTTTATTTTAACTTATCACGGCTACAGAATCGGTAATAGGAGAGTTTGGTGATCTGAAATACACGCCTTCAGTTATTTGTTATTTTCTTAGATTGATTTTGTGTAACTATTATTTCATAGGTCAGATATAAACTTTAATGCTGTTTTCTGTATCTTCTCACACTGTTCGATATCTGATGATAGGTTGGAAAATTAATGTTGGGTTAAGGTCGATTCAAACCAAATAAATCGGGCACATTGTAACGGTCTAAATGTGCTAACTAGATAAATATCAACAACCTTTCTCCAGAATCACCAACTCTACTTTTGAGAGATTTGACTCTGACAGCAACAAGCATGTCCGCTGTTGTAAAAGTCTGGTTTGAATGATTTAAATACGTTTTTCAGGAAGTGTCAAAAGGTTCTCGGGAAAAACATGGAACTGTGGGAGAACGAAGTGTACCGGTTCAAGACCATCGGACAGCTGAAGGTAGGCCCGAGTGTCTGTGTTTTAAGCAAACAGATTTCTGTACCTTAATTGCATTTTTAAAGTTGTTAAATCTGCAGTGAAAAGGAGGAAAGCTGTGTCTCTCGTCAATATATTGACACCTCTTTCTAATTTCAGGCCATCAGTCAGTATTTGCCCAGAGGAGACCTGCGTCTCAGACCAGCCATCTATGAAATGATCTTGCATGAATTTCTTAAAACTGACTATGAGGTACGTTGTCGTCTTGTAATCTTGAAGTCCTGTAACAAATCTGGTATTACCTGATTGGTTGATGAACACAGAGACGTAGATTTTAGAGGGGATATGTCCCTGTCGATATTTAGAACATCTGCAAATAAAAACACGATAGAAGCAGAAGAGTTTTATTTTTGAAAAAGAAGCCTTTATTTGTCACAAATACATTACAGCACTGAGATTCTTTTTTCTTTTTTCTTTTTTTTTACATAACCCGACTTGTTTGGAAGTTGTGGCGACACTAAAACTTGAACCCCATCATTAGGATTAGTAACCCAGAGCCTCAAACTTTCAGCCACCATCACGTTTCTTCATTATGCCTGAATTGTCTGAATCAATGAAGTCATTTCCTTCATAAATTGATGCAGAAAAGACACAAATTGGTAATAAAAAGTCACCAGAATGCAGGAAAAGAAGTGTTTAGAGTTCAAAATTTTTTGGGGTTGTCTTCACTCCTAAATTTTCAAAATAAAGTCATTTTTCTTATATGACTTTTTGATAAATTGTACCATGATTTACATCCATCTCAAAATGCTGCCTTACTCAAATTAAAAAGGTCGACTGCGGTTCAGGTGGAAAGCAGGTTGTTCACTAATCAGAAGGCTTGTAATTTGATCCCCGGCTCCTCTGAATGCAGAACTGTCCTCGGGCAAGACGCTGAACACTTATTGATACTTATTTGTAACGTGAGGAGTTTTTTCTATTGTTCTATTGTTTTTAAAGAATGCTTCTTCTTTATAATGTCTTATTGTTATTGCAGAACTTGTTGAACAGTCGCTTGTGAGAGCAAACAAAAACTTGACTGTTGAACTCTCCCTTGAGTCTTTGTAACGCTGTAAAGAACTCTGAGCACCGCCAAGTTAGACAAGCGCCATATCTGTGCAGAACATTTACCATTCCTGCTGCTTTATGTTTCCCCCAAATCTCACTGATACTTTGCCCATCTTTCTTTCCACGAAGGGTTTCGCCACTCTGATCCGGGAATGGCCAGGAGAGCTTTACAACAACATGGCCATTGTTCAGGCCGTCACTGATCAACTGAAGAAGTATCCCACCAACAGCATTCTGCTCACCACGCTGGCGGAGCTGTGAGTGATCGTAACATGTGCATTACTTCACAAAACACAAGATTCCTTTTAATATTAGAGCTAAATAGCAAAAGTATCATTTTAGAGACATTTTTATGGAGGTCAGCATAACTTACTGGTATTTGTTGACACTGACGCTGTGTTGATGCTCTGTCAGATACACCTACGACCAGCGGTACGACAGAGCCTTAGAAATCTACCTGAAGCTGAGGCACAAAGATGTTTACCAGCTGATCCACAAACACAACCTTTTCTCCTCCATAGAGGACAAGATCGTCCTCCTCATGGAGTTTGACAAAGAGGTGAAAATCAAAACACGTTCATTTGTATCATAATCGCAAACCGACTGTAATACAATCTGTGTTGCATTTGTAAGTAAAGAACTGTATGAACTTGTGTCTTTAGAAAGCTGTTGACATGCTTCTCGACAATGAAGACAAGATATCAGTGAGTGCACCTGACTCTCTTGAATCTTTTTTATGATTGTTCTGATGAACCTGTTGCCCGCTAAACCTTTTTTTCTTCCTCTCCGCTAACAGACGGACCGAGTGGTGGAAGAACTAGCAGACAGGCCAGAGCTTCTTCATGTGGTGAGTGTAAATTTTAAAAAAAAAACCTCAGCTCACAAAATCAAACTGATCACACAGCGACTTCAACCACAACTCCCCCCTCCTCCCGCAGTACCTCCACAAACTGTTCAAGCGGGACCACCACAAAGGCCAGAAGTACCACGAGAGGCAGATCGGCCTGTACGCTGAGTACGACCGACCTAATCTCTTACCTTTCCTGAGAGACAGCACACACTGCCCTCTTGAGAAGGTACATGTCATCCCGTCGCACATTAACGTCTGCAGAATTTACAAAACGTGAATAATCTGGCGTTACTTCTCTGACTTCTCACTCAGGCTCTGGAGATTTGTCAGCAGAGGAACTTTGTAGAGGAGACCGTGTTCCTGCTCAGTAAGTGTTAATTAAGGTCCGCTGTGTCTGCGATTTGAAACGAGGAAACTAATCCGGCACGTTGCTCCCAGGCAGGATGGGGAACTGCAGACGAGCCCTGCAGATGATCATGGAGGAGCTGGAGGACGTGGACAAGGCCATAGAGTTTGCTAAAGAGCAGGACGACGCAGAGCTGTGGGAGGATCTCATCTCTTATTCTATTGACAAACCGCGTATGACACCACGTCTCCTACCGACTCAGTTCTAATAAACATCTGTCCTGTTATCTGTAACTATCATTCATGTCTTCTCTCTTTGTGTTTTCGCCTTGTTGTTGATTCTAGCTTTCATCACGGGCCTCCTCAACAATATCGGCACTCATGTTGATCCCATCCTGCTCATCCACCGCATAAAGGAAGGCATGGAGATCCCAAACCTCAGAGATTCACTCGTGAAAATCCTCCAGGATTACAATCTACAGGTTAGACGAGCTTCTCTTAAAATATCATTTTTCAACCCTATTACCTGTCGGCTGCTTGGAAAGGAATGTTATCTTTACAGAAAAATTGCCGAAATGACACTATTTATCAGAGCCAGCACTGTAAAAGCAGAGAGGCTCTTCAGAAATTATAACTTTCTGATGATCCTTGAATGAATCATCTGACATGCCGTTAATTCAGAAAACCGAAACTCCAAATTGTGATGTTTCATTGAAGTCACTTTATTCTACACATCTCATTTGAAAATGACCAAAAATAAATCATTTTAGTTACTAGATTCTGCAAAAAGAAACCTAAAACTTTGCTCCTTGGTGCAACTTAGAAGCCATTAATGACTCAGCAACAACCAACAGCCACGTCACAAAAATTCAAGGACTTTTCAGCTGAACTGCAGTCTGTGCTTCACAAAGCAGATAGGAGACAAGAAGAAAGGCAAATTTAAAGCCTAAGTGGTAAAGTATTTATAGTTTGCAGGGTCACCGTCTTGTTCTAGTGCTAGTAACATCCGTGGTGACTTGGAAAAATGTTGCATATGTTGATATCAGGGTTTTTTTCAGTTTAAAGTAAATAATCATGGAAATTCAAAGATTTCTACTTTTTTATAATTTATGGCATTACAATCGTGTCATTCTGCACAGATGGTTTTGTTGACTTCTCCACAGAGGTGCAGGACTTTATGTTTATATAGGACTTTATAAAATGTGACATTAGCAAAAAGATGCTTAGAAACCGTGATTAAAGTCCTTAAAATGTAGAAATAACACTCATTTAAACTCTTGTTTTCCTTACAGGTTATTATTAGTTAACATCCATAAACACTGTTCTTCTATTTGTCTACTCTGTTTAAATAAAAGAGAAAAAAAAGAGTGTAAAGTTGCAAGTATAATCATTTATACTGAAGACTTGTGTTACTGTAATAAATAGGAGGGAACTTTTAAATCGCTCCGTCGACTTTTTACCGTCTTATTGTTTTCTTCATTAACCGACTTGTGTTGTCTTGTGTCTAAGATTCTACTAAGGGAAGGATGCAAGAAGATCCTGGTGGCCGACTCTCTGTCCCTCCTCCAGAAGATGCATCGAACACAGATGAGAGGAGTCAGAGTCGATGGTGGGTGCAGTTTTTTTTTTTATTGTTGTTTACTGAAGAAGCATTGGAGGTGAATTATAATGAACCAACCTCCTGAACATGTTGTTTCTGGTTTTCTTTTCAGAGGAGAACATTTGTGAGTCATGTCACGCTACAATATTACCCTCAGGTAGGTCATTTAAATCAGTGGATCCTACTGTTTTAGAGCTATGAGGCATTTAAAAGCTATTTATCGCAAACGTTTGCTTCCACACCTGTGTTTCAGACATGGCCAAACCCTTCAATGTGGTGGTGTTCCACTGCAGACACATGTTTCACAAGGAATGTTTACCATCTTCAGGAACAGTAAGTCATGTCCTCGTATGTTTATTTTATCTGAGAATCTCAAATATAACTTTAAGTTTGTTGTCACATACATTTAAAGGGTACATTTGCATCTTTGTCAGCCCTTAAAAATATATTTAAATAAGAATACAAATAATGAATACATCTTGGCTGTCCCATAGTAAGACTTGTGTGCCTTTCTCCTCTTCCTCCTCGGCTCAGATTCCTGGGGTGCAGTTTTGTAACATCTGCAGCGCAAAGAGACGAGGACCTGGAAGTGGAATCCTCGAGATGAAAAAGTAACAAGGATTCGTGCACTCTCACTGTTATTATTGATGCTTTATGTCTCATTTTCCCCTGGCTTCCCCGGTGCAATGATCAAAGAAAATCACTTTCCTCCAGTTGCTGAACTATATGCGGGCAAAAATGCTAAACATATCCACTGGACCGTCTGTGTATATTTGCTCCTAACAACTGTTACGTGCTGTGCTTGTTCTGCTCGCCACTAATGTTGGTGATGAAATGTCTGAAAAATAAAATCATGTAAAAACTCTATTTGGTTTGTGTGTGATGATTACACGTGTTTTCTTTATTCCAGTTTAACCAAAGAATTTAGTTAAAGGACAGTTAAGTGGCCGACAACTTTGACATAATATGTAGTGTGCTAACAATTATTTCATTCAACAAAATGCTGGGAAAACTTAGAGAAATGCACATTATCTTATGTTGTTATCAAAGATTTCATTGAATAATTCCAAAAAGAAACAGTTGGGATTTGTACTGGAGTGTCTGTAGTTGGGAACAGACTTGCATGACTCAGAAAACATGTGAAAATGGTTGTCAGGGAAGAAGACATTAATTTATTCAACTCATTCATTGGTGTCATTTGACTGTTCTTTTGAATTCCACATACAACGACTTTACTTGGTGCACATATATGTAGAACTGTTGATAGAAAGCTTGGATAGACTGAGAGTCTGGAAATTTTGTGAAATATTCAGATGCACTGATCACTTCTTAGATTAAATGTTCTTTCTTTCTTCTTTATCAACAAAGATTTGAAGAAAAACACAATTACTATAATGACTATTGTACTTTTGCGGCTTTTACGGCTTCCTTTACCTCATTGAAGGATCTAAATACTTAAGACTTAGAAAAAAGCTGCTGGTTCCTCAAAAAGTACTAAAAATACTGTAAAGATGTCACATTAAAACCCACTGATACAAATGTGTTCAGACTCCCAACGTATAAATGCAACAGATGCCCCACAGAAGACTCACTTGATTTAGTGTCAATAAAGGAAAGTTCACATTCTCAACACTTCACCTGACAAATTTAGCAACTGAGGATTTCGCTTAGTCTGACTTATTGTCCTTTGGTTCGGTTCCATAAAACAAATTCAACATAATTTAAGCTCAGTTAATCTGTAAACTGATGCTGGGGAAGTGTCAGACTGCTCCTGAGTTGTTGCTTAACCAGGGTGTCCCATCACACTGGCCACTGTGTTCTACCTGCAGGTTTTATGTTACTGAGGTTATTTCCTGTGGAGCTCATTGATTTGATCCATATTCAACCTCTTGGACTGCTTTGGAATCATGTGCACACACACACTTATCTTCACAGTCTGAACCTGTGTAACACTGGCCTGATTGCATTAACTTGAACAAACCTTTATGGAGCCGCTTCAGCACCTACTGATTTGTTAGGCTCAGTCATGTGTTGGACTTTAATCCTCTGAACCCCAAAACCTGCTGATCAGTTTGATCGGCATTTAAAAAAAATCACTACAATGACACCATTTATCAGAGCCAGAAACTGTGAAAACAATGAATCAGACCATGTTCAGCTTTCATCTGATCTATGAACATGTTCCGACTAATGCATGGTTCCATTAGATAAATTAACCAAATTAAGCTTAAAATATTGATATTTCATCAAAATCACTTTATTATTCATATCTAATTTAAATATATGCCAAAAATAAACACTTATACAAAACAGAGATGAAGAGATTTTTCAGACTAACTGCAGATTGTTTACACGAGGCACAGAAGAGACAAACTGAAAGAAAACAAAACTCACTGGAACAGTAAAGTAAAGGCAGAGATTGTTTGCAGAGGAGCAAGTGGTCAGCAAGTTGTTGGAAGACACATTCAATGTGGTGAAACCTCTTCCTAAAGTTGATGTACAGCGTAGTGTGAAAAATCCCTAGTGCGTAGAAGTTATAAAAATGTAAAATATCTACAGTATGTAAAATCATTTCATTTTTTTCAGAGTTTGGCAAATGTTGTTCCTGCTGACTCCACATTTCCACATTTTGTGTAAAAACACGTGTTTATTTTTCTTTTCTTTTTTTTCTTTTTTTTTTTGATTGATGGCATTATAATCTTGATAAAGTTTGCAAAAGAGGTTTATAGGTGTCACTTCTAGCCCTGGTTGTGCTGCTTCCACAGAGGTGCAGGACTTTAGATACTGCCTGAGAGTTGATCCCCACTTTTCTTAATGCACCTTATGGAACAGTTTACTGTTTTACAATCACATGTTTTATGTTGATTTGTGTGTAATTCTGTATGAAATGTGCGCTTTTTTTTATGATTCCTTATTAAACTTCCCTGTTAATCCTCTATTAAATATAGCGCCGATGTTTTCTTTATTTTGTTGTTTTTTTTCCTGTCGGGTGTTTATTATTAACTTTTACCATTAAACTGTCCAGAGAGTTCCAGTAATGTCCATTCGTGCGTTTTATGTATCTCAAAAGATAAAATAAAATTTAAAATTTATTTTTAAAAAAAACAACAAAAAAAAACTACAACCCTGCTCTTTAGTGCGCCTGCGTCACATCCGCAGCTTCCCTCCGGAAGTACAGTTAATTTTTATTCACAGGAAAAAAAAAAAAAAAAAACAGCTGCTGTTGGAAAAGAAAACATCAAAGTGAGTTTAATTGATGAACGGCGCGTCTTTACGTGTTCGCTGACATTAGTAGGGTACAGACCGCTGTGTTAAAGCTCCGCTCCGCCTGTCCGGCTGCTGTTTAGGTTCACTTCGCTTCGCTCATTTGTTGCGAGTTGCTGCTGCTGCTAACGTTAGCTCCCATCACTGAGCACTTCAGCTAGCAGGCTAGCCACTCTCAGCTAGCTAACTGACCATTTCTGACTGACTGCTCAACTCCTGCTGACAACAGTCTCTGTCACACAGTCTGTAAGGGCGTTTGTGTAGGATACGTGAGTAAATGCAGCTCGTATATTGTGTGAGTCGCTAGCCAGCTAGTTTGACTGCGATTTCTCAGTGTTTATGTCCAACGTTAGCCAGCCTTGTTGCTTGTAGAAAAAAAAAACAGGTCTCAGTTTATACACTTGGGCTTTGATTATAGCCCATATTAATATATTACAGCTCTTAAATTTAGTCATTGAGTGTTTGTATACATGTATGATGTTTATGGTGACATTTGAAGGCATGCTTTCTGTTCAGCAGGACTTCCTATTGTGTTACTACACCAACAAGAGAAACTGTAAGGTGCTCGGCAAAAATGTGAATCTCATCCAGTTCTGTTCAATAGCAAACCTGGACTATATTAGATAAACTTAATTGCAAGATTGTCTTTATTTGCTCTATTTAAAAAAAACAGGAATTTTCACTAGATTACTTCAATAACTTTATGTAGAAAGAATGATTATCTCTGTAGTGATTGGGGTGATTTTACAGCGAAGTGAATCTGTTTAGACATGAAATATTATCTAAAGAAATGTGATTTAAGACGTTTGGAACCTTTCTCATATGTTGTAACAGTGCCAAAGGTATCCAAAATAGTTTTTTCTTCCTCCTGATAACATTCAGATCTGACTTTGCACCACAGAGCTTTGTGGTGTTGATTTAAATGGTCAGATAATTAAGTTGTGTTACTATAAGACACTGTTTTGATCAGTGTTACACTTTCTGTAGCTGAAATATCTCCAAACAGCTCGTGTTTTGTTCTTTTTGTTGCAATCAAATCTTCCTTTTCAGTGTTTCTCTCCTGTTCTTTGGTCATTTCGCTGCACATGTGGAGCCTGCATGTCAACACCCTCTGTGTCATGTGACAGACAAATTTCTCCAGTAAATCAGAAAACGAGAACCATGCAGGTTTTCCTTTTGGATTAATCAGCAAAAAGGTTGCAGAATAATGCGTTTGAATTCATTTGAGATGTCACAGTTGTACACACATACGTTAAAATGCTGATGCTAAAACAACATATTGTGCTTATTATATAGGATTAAGTGGGATGTGTTGTGTTGTCTTGGCTTCATTGTGCTTTTGTATAATGTTTTCACAGAATGCCGGCCCCAAAGAGAGGACCAGCTCCTCATGATTCTCAGCCCAAGATAAGGAAGTTGGAGGACGATGGAGAGGCGCTGCCATCCAAAACTGCACCAGCTACCAATAATCAGTCCCTCAAAACAGGAAATATGCAAGAAAAGACAGCAGCACCACGGACTAAGAAAAAACTGTCGGTGGAAGGGGTACATAAACCAGCCAAGTCATCCACACAGAGTTCGCCTCCAAAAGATTCCAGCAAAACCATTTCTGACCCCCCTGTTAAAAAAGCCAAGCTCCTAAAAGCCACAAGTGCCTCCTGTGGAGACGCTCCCGCACAGAGAGCGAACTCCAAAGCTTCCCTGAAGCGAACAGCCTCCACGGAGTCTGACGATGAGTTAAGTAGCGACGGTAGTAAAGTTGATTTCTTTAGAGAGAGGGATGACGAAGACAAGGCCCGCTGTATAAGGAAATATTCTAACCGAGTGAAAGCCAAGCGTAGGGCTGAAGAGTCGACTTCCGATCCACAGGAGAATTTACCAACTGCACCTGTGGACCCTGTACAGATGGACCACAATTATGGTAGATTCTCAGATTCAGCAAGTATTCAAAGCGTTGATGATGCTAATCAGTCTGAGCAGAAAGAATCTGCAGAGCCTCTTACTGAACGAGAGAGGCAAGACATTTCAGATAACGCAACACAGGAGGTGTCACAGGAAACCTCAGCCTCTGTAAAAGGGAGCACTAATGTTAGCATCAAATGTGAGTCTACCGCTGAAGAAAGTAAACACGAGGAATTACAAAAGTTAGACAGCCAAAACCTCATAGATAACGAAACACCAGCGTCATCTCGACAAACGTTAGACCCTGTCACTGCAGCAGCACCAGAACTCCCCGTCACATCCGAGGACAATGAAAAGGATCAAGCAGAGTCCATTAAAATCCAAAAGGATGTAGATAACGAAGCACAAGTAGAAACACTTTGTTCTGTTACTGGAGAGGTGAGTCCAAGCTGTGGAGATGAAGAACAGGCAGATGGAAAGACGGACTCATCAGACAGTCAGACAGACCTGAACACTCAAACTAAAACAAATCAGACCACAGAGTTTGTGTCTGAAGATGATAAGCTGAATATAAGAGTCTCTGCAGCCCACAGTAATGTTATACTGCATGAAGCACCGTCAAAGGAAACAAACTCTGCACCAGAACAGCTCCTGGTAGAAAGTAGTAATCCAGAAAGTCAGGACGGTGAAAATCTAACAACGGCTGAGTCTGTTGGCAGTTCGGACACTCAAACTGACCTCAGTGTCAAAATTCAAGTGACTTTCAAGCAGGAATCCAAATCGGTACACGTGCAGGACCAGGTTTCAGATACAGTCACCAGCTCGTGTGATGATGTCAACAAAACAGTTATACAGCCAGAGGAAAAATGTGAAGAAAGTGACAGAAAAAGAGTTGACTTCCATTCGACTCAGGCTGCTGCTTGTCCTGGAGCTTTGGTCGAGGTACAACTGAGCTCTGGCTCTCTGACAACTGACAGCTGTACTGAAATACTGACACCCGATTGTGAGGCTGTTCATGAGCAAAATCAAAGAGAGCTCCTTTCTGAATGTTTCACACTTCCTGAGGGTCAAATAGCACCTGGGGTGGAAATACACAATCAGGAGAACCACAAACTTTATGGCAACACTGCAGAAAAAGCGGCTGAAGCTAAAGAAGATTCAAGCACAGAAAAAGAAAAGGATGTGAGCATCGAGTGTTCCACTGCACCAGATAGCCAAATCAAAATGGATATACAGGAGGTTTCACATCCAGCTGTTACAGTGGAAACAGAAAGCCAGAAAGGAGAGGATGTCAGTGAACCTGCCACAAACGTATCTACAAATTTTCACGAGGATCACGTGGGTGAACGCTGTAAAACGATGGAAAACACTGTGAACTATGAATGTGTCAGTGGAGCTGAGATCCAAAACAAACTAGAAACACGGACTGTAGAGACATCAGAGATTTCTAATCCAGGACCTGCTGTGGAAGTGCAAGAGCACCAGGAAGTCTGTGAACCCACCACTGTTATATCTGCTGAAGTTCCCGGTTGTGTTACAGCTGATAAATCTAACAACATGGAAAACTTTGAGTTTGTTAGTAGAGCTGAGAGCAAAATGGAAATGCACACTGCAGCAGCTTTGGAGTTTTCTAATCCAGCAGCTGAAGTGGAAGTACAAAGCCAGGAGAGAGCAGAAGTCAGTGAACTCACCACAGATGTACCTGCTCCTCTAGAGGCTGCACAGTGTGAGAGCAGTGAAGATGCTGAATGTGTTGCTGCTGCGGAGAATCAAATAGAGGTAGATACACAGACTGCAGCCACATCAGAGGAGGTCTGTAACATTGCACCAGCTGTGGGAGCACATGGACAGACGAGCCAGGTGGTCAGTGAACCTACCACAGGTGTATCAAGTGAGTTTCATCAGGATCATGAGGTTCAAAATGTCAAGACCGTTGAAAGTGACAGGGTGAACTTTGAATCTGTGACTGTGCCGGAGAGTCGAAGTGAAGTGGAACAGCGCACAGCGGTGACGATGCAGGTTTCCAATCCAGCCCCTTCAGTGGAAATCCAAAAAAATCAAACAGAAGTGGGCAAGCAGACTGCAACATCAGCACCTGCAGTGGAAATGCAACATTCAGACGGCAAGTCTAAAGAGGTTCACAGGGACCTAATGATTGAAAATTGTCAAAATGTGAAGAATGAGGGCAAGATGCACGTCGAATGTGCTGCTGTACAAGAAAATCTAATCAAAATGGAAATGCAGGTTACATCAACATCAGAGATTTCCAACGCAGCCCCTTCAGTGGAAATGCAAAGTGAGAAAAGCCAAAATGAGGTGGATATGGAGGCCGCATCGACATCAGAGGTTGTATCGAACATGGAACCTGCAGTGGAAATACAAAACCAAGAGATCCAGGATGTCAGTGAACATGCTACACACACATATACACAATCTGAAACTGTAGCAGAGAATCAAGACAAGATAGAGATTTCCATCCAGAGCCAAGAAGTCATTTCTGACATCTCTGAAAAAGTCCAAGAAGGAATAAGCATTCCCACAAATGACTGTAAAGAAATTAAGAACGATGCACTCATAGAATGTGTCAGTGCTGAGAGGCCAGTAAAAGTGGAAACACAAGAGGAGGTAACAAAGCCAACAACTACAGTAGAAACACAAAGCCAGGAGGGGGGTCAGGAGGTCAGAGAACTCAGCGCAGACACTGAAGAACAAAAAGATTTCATCAATGCTGAAGGTGAAGATGACGAGGTACGCGCTGGATGTGTGAGCGCTACTGAGAATCAATCAAACATGGACGTGCAGACAACAGTAACACCGGGGGAGATTCCTGAAGGGGAAATACAAAACCAGAGATGCCAGGAGGTCAGCGAAGTCAATAATGTTGAAAGAGATGTAATGACTTCAAGTTGCGAGAGTGAGCAGAATGAAGACAAGGCTGCTTCTGAATGCGTTAATGTTCCTCAGATTCAAAGTAATATGGAAACTACCGCAGAGAGCTCTAATCCGGCAGCTGTGGCAGAACAGCAAAACCACGTGACGGAGGACGTCGGCAAACACACTACGGTCTTATCTAATGAAATTCCTCTGGAAAATAAAGAAAACGACCGACGGACGGAGCCTGGTGCTGAGGATGAACAAGTGGATATGGATGCAATAAGTGGATCAATAGAAAGGGCAGCTTCTGCGTTAGGAGAGGAGACGGGGAGGCAAGTGATTAATGAGGTCAAGGCTGACAAATCCGTCAGTAATATTGAAGGAGAAGGAGCTGAAAGCAACGAAGTGATCGTTTTTGTTTGCGGCCAACCAGATGACAATGATATTGTAATTCAGGCAGCAGAGGAGCAGATTAAGACGGTTAATCAGTCAGCGGCTGAGCTTCATGAAGACCAGATAGTGTATGAGCCCATTAGCAGTCCGGAGAGTAATGACGAGAGAGAGGTTTGTGCAGCAGAGAGGCACGATGGCCTTTCTTTACTGGACATACAGAGCGCAGACGGCCAGCAGACAGAAAACAACGCATCAAACTTTTCCGACAATGCGGAAGACAGAGAAAGTGCCAACCCACAGCTGGACGACGAGAGAGAAATTTGCGTCTCGGACAGCCAGGCAGTAGTTGAAATGGAAGTACAAGCTATGAGTGTGCCAGAGAGTCCTGTTCCCGCACAGTTGGAGCAGAATAACGCGACCGTGGATGTGAAACAAGTCGCAGTGATCAGCTCCAGCGATGACGTCAGCGTGCCAGATGGTCGGTCAGAAGATGTCGCCAAAAAAAGTGAGAGGAACGGCTTTCCAGAGTGCGTCAGTGCCACGGAGTTTTCGGAGCAGGTGCGGGAGGACGCCGGAGTTCAGGAGGTTGCAGATGTCACGGTGACAACGACCACAGCCGCCACTGAAGCTGAGATGCCAGATAGTGCATCTGAGGAGTATGTGATCTTAGAGCCGGTCCCAGAGAGCGACATTCACTTTGATATCCTCACTCAGGCTGCAGCCGAGTCGGGTCTGTCGGCCTCGCTCTCAGAGGAGGTCAGTCCAGACAGTGAAGTGGAAAATGAGAGGATTTTAATTGGTTCCCAACAAACTGTATCTCTGGAGGCAGAAGTGCAGCAGTGTGAAACAACTGATGGGGTCACAGATGCTGCAGTAACCAGTTCAGGTGAGGTATCGCAGCAGGAGACGGGCTCAAACATTTCACCTTTAGAGGGAGATTTTCAGAATATTCAAAATTCTAATCAGCAAACATCATCTGGCATTATGGATGTTAATACCCCAGAGGTCGAGGTGACTAACTCTTGTGCTCCAGGCACCAATGAAGACTGTAATGAAGTGGTGATAGAGAATGCTGAGAGTAATTTGGACCTGCAAGAAGTGCAGATTCTGGAAGATATAGAGATCGGTCGTGAGATTGTAGTGGCAGAGGAGGAGAACGAGGAAGACAGTGACATTACAATCATAGAAAAACCACAGCAAACACCTGAGGCAGGCCCTCCGAAAAAGCCGGAGGAAAAGGTGAATGAGAAAATTAAAGATGGCACTAATGGAACCGACTTGAAGCAGAACAGCACAGCTGAAAAGACTGTAGATGAAAAAACGGGACAGGAGGTAGAAAAACCCAAGAAACAAGAAATGAATACACAGGCGAGAACCAAAGCTCGTCTGGCAGCTCTGGCTGAGCAAAAGGCTGCAGCGTCTAAGAGAACAGCAAACAGACAGCAGCTGAACCTCTTAGCCCTGTGTCAGGAAATCGCAGAGGACATTGCCACAGACAGCATGCTGCTGAAGAGGATAGAGGAAGAGAAACAAGCGGCGGCGGCGGCGGCAGCAGCAACAGCAGCAGCAGCGGCGGCGGCGGCGGCGGCGGCGGCGGCGGCAGCCAAGAGTGAAGCCAGCAAGAAGGAGCGTCCACCTGTTAGCACGCAGGATGCAGACACGGTCAATGTGGCGACTCCTGCTGGACCAGAAGGATGCTCTGCTTCGGCGCCGCCTGCTGAGGAGGCGCCTGATGCAGCCCGGTCCTCAACGGCCGATCCAGCCGAAGCCAAACCTACTGCAGAGGCTCAGAAGAGACGATTCTTCATCACACAGGTTTCAGTGCCGCTGAAAGCCCACGAGAAGAAGAAGCTGACTCGATATCAAAGGCTGCGACAGGTTGAGCTGCAGAGAGAGAAAATGTCTTGGGCGCGAGTAAAGAAACTAAAGTCTGACCAAGCAAACCAGATGTTCTCAGACATGGACTGGCAGTCGCCTTTGTCTGCCGCCTCTCTGTTTTCAGTGAGTCCAGTCTCCACGACGCCTCCACCTGCAGCCAGTCCATCCAAAACGCCCCCGCCGAGTCCTGCCACAAGCAGCAAACCTGCCACGCCCAAGACGGATGCTCCCAAGGCTGAGACTCCAAAGGTTGAGCCGGACAACACAGAACCTTCCAAAACAGAACCCACTAAAACAGAAACCCCCAAAACCGAACCCATAAAAGCTGAACCCTCTAAAACTCCAACTGCCAAAACCGAAGCCTCTAAAACCGAACCTCCTAGTACTGAGACCCGTAGATCTACGAGGCAAAGCAAAGCTCAGACTTCTAAAGCTGCAGCTGCTCCTGGACCTGCCCCGAAGGTGACCAGATCAGCAGCCAAGAGGACCCTCCCAGCAGTGCCTCCTCCGATGCCCAACGGGCTTAATTCTCAAAAACAGAAGCCTGAAGTCGAGTACAAACCATACAGACCCAGACCCAAGTACTCCATTGATGACTTCGAGCTGGATGATGATCCGTTACCAGTTGCTCCGACGAAGCCGAATCCACAAGCAGCAGCCAAACAACTGCCCCGACCCAGCCTTCAGTCAAACCCTGCAGCCCAATCTAAACTCCTATCAAAACCCACAGTTTCATCACAACCTACCAACCAGGCAAAACTCAAAGCTCAGACCATCCCAGCTCAGTCCAAGCCCACCGCTGCAGCTCCTGCCCAGTTAAAACCAGCAGCCCCCCAGTCAAAGGCCGCAGCTTCATCAAAACCCGCCTCTTCAGCTCCCGTGAAGCCTCCTGTATCGACCGCGCCACAGTCTAAAGCTGTCTCAGCTGCAGGTCAGTCCAAACCTGCTGCTTCTGCCTCGCCCCTGTTAAAGACAGCTGGTGCAAGCGTTGCACAGTTGAAGCAGTCGACTCCAGCAGCAGCTCAGCCGTCTGTTTCAACCACATCCGAGACCAAACCTGCTGCTCTCAAGGCTGATGCTGCTTCAGTGCCTCAGAAACAACCGAATCTCCCATCACGGGAAGACGGCACATGCAAGGTAAGTCAGAATAATTACTCTCTAATGTGTGCCGCGGACAGCTTTGTGTAGTACGCTGTATCTGGTATTTTACGGCCTCTTGTCTTTCATTCACAGGCTACAACTGATCCACTTACATCAGCTTCCGCCTCTTCCGTTGCCCCAGAGGAAAACTCTACAGTGTCTGATGACAAGCAGCAGTGTGAAGAAAAGCCTGCAGGTTTGTGTTTGTTGTATCATGTTGTTGCATCGCTCAGTGCAGGGCTGATTCAGATTTCAAGATATCGTCCAGTAAGCATTTCGTTTTATTTGCCCTGCTATCACTGACCTATAAAAAGTGCTGCTGATAGTTTTGTAGCTTGTGTTTATTTTACTATTCGCCCTCTCAGCTCCAAGTAGATTCTGGGTGTTGCTCATTTTTTTTGCTTCAATATAAACTCCTGCACCTCTGTGGAAACAGTACAACTCTGGCTGGAGGTGGTTAGAACTCAATTTGTTAAATAATTAATAACAAAGTTGTAATGTCATAAATCTTACAAGAAAAAAAAAAAAACAGAATTCTTTAAGTATTTGGTAAAAAAAAACAAAAAAAAAAAAAAGTGAAGCCTACATGTACATCTTTCCAAGTGCCAACAGGTAATACTGATACTGAAGAAAAAGTTGGTTCTACACACTATAGATACTTAACTATGTATATTAGTATGATATTTATTTGCTCTGTGTGAACACCGTCTGCAGTTCAGCTGAAAAGTCACCGAATTTTTCTCACATGACTCTTTGTGGCAGCTAAATTACTAATGGTTGCGCTAAAGAGCACACAGTTTTTTGTTTTTTGCAGAATCTTGTTTTTCAAAAGAGATGTGTAGAATGAAGTGATGTCGATGAAATGAGTAGTTCATGAACAGTTTTAACACTTTTTTCTGTAACAAAGGTTGTAATTTTGGTAGTTTTTAAAGATAAAATGCCTTTTTTCAACCCATTGGTGGTTATAATTGCCAAAAAGTTTGGTAATCTGATGTTATAAATATCGTAGTATATTTTTTCCTCTTTTGATGTCAGCAACCTTCCTACAAAGCTGTACTGCTGCTGTAAAATCGTTTCCTTTTCTTACAGTCACTGCTGTTGATCCTTCTCCAGAGAAGAAGGCAGAAACAGTCAAAACAGCGGAGAAGACTTTGGAAAAGCCTTGTCAGGAGTAAGAAGCTTCTCCTTCGCTGTTTGACGTGTTTTTCCCTTTAGCAATTGAAATCTGTACTAATCTGAGGTGTGTTCGTATCACAGCGGAGCCGCGAAGCCACAAGATGGCGGGACTCCTCTCTCTGATGCTTGTCTGCAAAAAGAAGTCAAGAAACTAAAGGAGGCTGACAAAGATGGCACCCAAACTATTATTGTGAGTGGATTAGTTCAACGCTTGGTCATTAGCTGAGTTGTTTTTGCTGTGCGTCGCTTATAAACTGAATTGTTGTGCATCTGAAGTACATATTAGGATGTAAGAAGTGATCTTTTGTCTCCTCTCGTCTCACAGGATGCAGGACAGAAGCACTTTGGAGCAGTGGCCTGCAATGTGTGTGGGATGCTCTACTCTGCTGCCAACCCTGAGGACGAATCTCAGCATTTACTCTTTCACAACCAGTTCATCAGCGCTGTCAAATACGTGGTGAGGGGAAGCTGCCTTTGTCTGTTCTCTTTGTACCGACTAATCAAGGCAATAAACAGAAGCGTTCATGCACGATGCGTCTTTTTAAAAAAACACACTGGAGGTGCGTTCACACCGAGCATGTGCTGGTAATTTATTTGCACAGTCGAGGGGTTCATTAGTGTTCAGCACGAACTTAAATTGCGTACCAATTAAGCGACTAAAAGCACCTAAAAATGTGAGTGTCGGCCCTCTTCCAAGCAGGCTGCACAGCGGGAAGCAAGACGGTTATCTGAACCAATAACGGGAGTAAAACGTGCCGCAGAGGCTGCAGGTATTAGATGAGATTCCTCCTGAATATTCGCTGTTGAGCGCATTTCCTTACAAATTGCTTCTGACTTTCTACCACCAGTAAAGTAGGTCAGCACATCTCTGTTATAACATTGGTTAAGTGTGATCACAGCCTGCCCATATGAAATATCACTCTCTGACTTCTGTAATGGTAAAAAGACAGAATCAGTGTTAACCCTCAGAACCTCAGAGATGTTGTCTACTCACTGGTGGCTCATTTTTCACTGGAATATAAAATCATGCACCTCTATGGAAACAGCAGAACTCAAAAATGTCTTTTGTAGAAAGTAACAAAGTGATAATGACTGAAATCTGTTTTTTGATTGTTTACTTTACAAAGAAGGTTAAAAAAAGAAAATCAACGTGTACAACATTTTTCCAAGTGTCTACAGGTGTTACTAATACTGAAATAATGGCTCTCCCTTGTTCATCCATCATCTATACACCGCTTAATCCTCACCAGGGTCGTAGGGGGCTGGAGTCTATCCCAGCTGACTCAGGGTGAAGGCAGGGGACACCCTGGACAGGTCACCAGTCTATCACAGGGCTACACTTAGAGACAGACAACCAAGCACACTCACATTCACACCAACAGACAATTTAGAATCACCACTTAACCTCAACATGTTTTTGGACTGTGTGGGAGGAAGCTGGAGAACCCAGAGAGAACCCACGCTGCACACAGAAAGATCCCGGGTGTCCTCACCGGGACGCAAATCCGGCGACCTTCTTGCTGTGAGGCAACAGTGCTACCAACTGCTCCACCTTGCAGCCCCTATCTGCCCCTATCTCCCCTGTTTTGACTCAACTCTGCTACAGTTGAGCCAAAACGTTGCTGAATCTTTGTTACATGCTTATAGCTGAGTCACTAATGTGTTCTAGGTTGCACCAAGGAGCCCACATTTTTTTGTCTTCGGTGGAATCCGGTGCAAACGGTTTATTTTTGCCAAATTTTTAAATACGACGTCTAGAATGAAGTGATTCAGTCACAAGAGTCATTTATGTTCACCTGTGTGAAGCAGCTGCATGAAACTAACAGAAATATCCAGTTTTAATCACTATTTCCATGAGTTCCAATATGAAAACATACAGGAACTTTCACCAGATTGCTTGAATAGCTACATATGGAAAGAATTAATCGTTCTATAATGATTGGGCTGATTGTTTAAGGGATCTGCATAGAACATTCAACATTACTTTAAAAAGCAGCTGTTTGAAAGCTTTCCCATCTGGTGCAACACTGGGGAAAGGCATCTAAAATAGTTTTTAACTTTGGATGGCATTCACATCTGACTTTGCACTTGTCATCCAGAGCTTATTTAAAATTTGTTGTGTTGCCTCGTGTTGTGGCAACAATTATACGACACTGCGTTGTATTAGAATCAATTGCCAACTGAAATGTTAAGATTATGCCGCCCCAGTTTCATTAAGATGATGTGACATTATTCCTTTGAGAAAACTGTGTAGCAGGTGAGAAGGTGCAGCAAAGAAATGCTGAAGCAAATATAAGTGACAATATACACTTTTCATCTTCTGTTCCAGGGTTGGAAGAAAGAGCGGATTCTGGGAGAGTATCCTGATGGAAAGATCATTCTTGTCCTGCCAGATGATCCCAAATATGCCTTGAAGAAGGTGTGTTTACAAAGAACAACAAGTTAAATATCAGCACATTTTCCCCGCTGCTGTACCAGAATATTTGTAGCTGCCGTCAACATATTGTTTCTTGACTGCATGACCGCTGTTCCTCAGGTGGAGGAGATCAGGGAGATGGTGGACAACGACCTCGGCTTCCAGCAGGTGGAGACCAAGTGTCCCTCTCAGACCAAAACCTTCCTGTTCATCTCTAATGACAAGAAAGTGGCCGGGTGTCTCATAGCGGAGCACATACAAGAGGTAGGAGACTGCAGATGTGTGTTCATCATGTCAGAATGAGTCTGCGCTGTATGCTGAGGCCTGTGGGTTCTCACAGGGCTACAGGGTGATCGAGGAGCCGGTACCGGAGGGCTCAGAGGGGGAGAAGGTGATGTTTGAGCGTCAGAGAGCCTGGTGCTGCTCCACGACGCCAGAGCCGGCCATCTGTGGCATCAGCCGCATCTGGGTGGTGAACATGATGAGACGCCAGGGCATCGCCTCGCGCATGATCGAGTGCCTCAGGTCAGTGCATCCGCAAACCGCCCAGATCCCACATCAGCCGAAGACGAGCTCCAACTGACATGTTGTGTTTTTCTCCGCAGGAATAACTTCATCTACGGTTCGTACCTGAGCAAAGACGAGATCGCTTTCTCAGACCCAACTCCTGACGGAAAACTCTTCGCCACACAATATTTCGGCACTTCTCAGTTTTTGGTTTATAACTTTGTGAGCGGAACACGCTCGTCCCAACCCAAAACCGACGCGGTATGACGGCCTTCAGGAAAACGATCCATCTGAGACGCCGGCCGAGCAGCGGGAGCCGCCCTCACCAAACACTGAATCTACATGTGTGTGAAAACAACAACAACAAAAAAACAAACTGCAAATTACTCCTTGGAGAGATTACACATTGGTTTAAATCTCAGGATGAAAACAACAAGGCGTTGTTGAAAAATGTTATTAATTCACCCTTTAATCCCTCCTTGCATAGTATTTTGAGAAGAAAAAAAAAGAAAAGAGTATTTTCTTTATACATTTTTAAGTAAACAATTGGTTTTATTAGAAGTATAGCGTTTACATGCATGACCTGACAGCAATAGAAACAGCATTTCATTGTTTTAACTTTGAAATCACTGAGAAGCATAACATCAGTTTCAAAAAAGCGGTTATTTTAGAATTTGTCCTCATGCTGTTTTAATGTTTTTACGCCTCTATCGTGCAGCAAACTCTGCTGCAGCGAGGGTCCATCTGTTTACCGTCGACAATGACGCTGCCTTCGTCTCAAGTTGTGTCTCAAAGGGCACGACTGCACAATTCCTATTGAGCGGTTAACTTCTTTTTTTTTTTTTTTAGTCCCATCGATTACAGTGTCATGTTTTTTGTTGTAATATTTCAAATTAACCGTGGAAAACAGGACTCGTTGCAACTATCCGAAGAGATGTGGGTTAGAACTGTAGCTTGGGCATTAATCGTGTGCTCTAATTTTCTTAGATCACCTCGCCTGAAATGTTTTTCCGAGCCGAGCCATATATACTGTACACCGTTTAGCAGGGCATTGTAGCCTATACTGTATGAGTGGTGTCTTAAAAATTTCACCAAGGCTGTCTTTTGCTTTGTTTGTGCCTGAATGAATCATGTTTGACTTAAAATGTTGATTTATTTTCTTTACTTTTTTTTTTTTTAGCCACGTGGTCCTCTAAGCAGCATGTGGCTTTTTTTTATTCTGTTAGTGTAGAGTATCATCCTCCTATTCCTTAGTATCGATGATTAAAATGTATATCAAATTATCATGTAGATTTATGCATACTATAACAAGATTTATAATGAAAGATGAGCAAGGTCGTACATGTGAAATGAGTATCAACTGCCTTTATGATTGAAAACAGGTGATCAACATGCCTCTCTCAACACACACCGATTAACAGTGTCATTGTAATCCATCCCTTATTTTCTTCTTCCTCCTTGTTGAAGCAGTCGCTTTTAGAAAGATGTGTTGTGTAAGAAAAAGAAATTTGATTTATACGAAGCTGTTATGTAAATATTTATTTAAATAAACAATTTAAAACACTTTTTTATTTGGCTGCAGGTGAGCGTATGACCACTTGTTTGTTGTATTGATGACCGATGCCATCTAGTGGTGGTCGATGTGGTCAACGTTTAATGGTCAAAAGATTTTACGGTTTATTTTGATGTAGAATTCGACATTAGTTTGAAATTGTGGGAATTGTGATGTTTCCTCTTTGTAGCTGCAGATGTAAACACTCCCCTCTTAGTGCATTCCTCGACGCTCCTGTCACAACACGGGGCAGCTCGATGGCAACTTCTGAGAAGCAAAACAACCTTAGAACAACACGAAAGCTTCCTCAAACAGAGTGAGAAAACAGAGGTCTCCGCTCCTCCTCGGAGATCTGATGCTAATCAGCAAGAAACAACAACGGAGCTGAGCTTCCTAAGGTGTCTGACACAGCGTCCACCTTGGCCTCTGGACTTGTACCGGGTCATCTTAATAAATCAATCCATCAATAAATGCGCAGTATACGGGCAACCTTCTGAACCCCAAAAATTTTAGGTTTGAAAGGCACATTTTTTTTTTATCTCACCAAAATAACACAATTTATTAGAGTTAAAAAATGTCAGATTCTTCATTTTATTAAGTGTTATGTGCAGGAAAAATTGTGTGTGTGTTTTTTTTTAATTGCTTTTGTTCTATATGTCTCAAGAATTGAGCAAAAATAGACAGATTTTGTAAAAAAAACAAAACAAAACAAACAAACAAAAACAAAATCTGCATTCTTCAGCTCAACTGAGGAAGCAACAGTCACATGACAAAAGAATGTCCAGATGAGCTGCAGGCTGTGTTTACTCAGAGCATAAAGACAACAACAAGAGAGATTAAGAGGAAAATAAAGCATATTTGAACAATAAACTAAACGCAGCACGGCTCAAAAACGGTATACAGCGGAGCAAGTTGTTGGAAGACACATTCAGCACGGTGAAATATCTTTGTAGAGTTGTATGCAGAGTAGTGTGAAAAAGCCAAGTTTGTAAAGGTTGTAAAACTGTTATATGTTAGTAAAGCTTTTTGTAGTATGTGAAGCTACCATTTTTTTTTCTACTATTAGTATAATAGTGGGCACACATTGGGTTGTCCCTACTGATAGAACTTTTTTTTTTTTTTTAAGTTTTTGGAAAATAATCAAACCGTGTGTTACTGCACAGAGGACAATGATGAATTCTCTGAACTTCTAGCCATGGTTGTGCTGTTTCCATAGAGGTGCAGGACTTTATATTTCCGTGAAAAAGGAGCCCACAATGAGTAAAAATGTGACAGAAAGGGGGGAAAAAAACACCTACAAATTGCTTGAGTTTCACAGGGTTAATACAGGATCCATAAAAAAGTATTTGGACTGATTTTAGCTCAGAATTTAAAATAAATAAATAAATAAATCAGACACATATTTGCAAACACACACTTTTATTCTTACACATCAATTTAAAAAGAGAAAAATCTCACAGCTGCCACATTGTAAACCATAAAACACGTAATCCTAACAATAAAAATCACCTAAATGAGTAAGAAGCTATGATTACCTCAAGAAAATAAAAAAAGTCCTATTTACACTGTAGACAACCAATATACAATATACAACGTTCGTATTAACTTCTACCATCTGCACACAACTTGTTCGATACTGAGCTGCTTTTTGTTGACTGTTTTAGAAAAGAAACAGCACCATTGTGACGTGAACTCCACAAACTGACCCGTTCGCTCAGTGCAGCTGGGATTGGCCCTGTCGCCTGACATCTGCGGGGGCTTGATCTGTTTAAAGAGTTTTAAGATGAGATTACAGTAATGCTCTGGCTACTTGTTTTGTTGACAGGCAACCTATACGAGGAAAAGAGCTGCTCTGGAGTGTGCATGGCCAATCTTTACACCGAACAAGGAGCATAAACCGACAAATTATACCACAAGCTCTTTATACACACGTGGAGGTTGAATAAAGGTTAATCCATTGGCTTGTGCATCTGTGACACATTGTTACACATTCAACAGTTCGCTCGGATGAGTTGACATATGATCGTGTGTCGTGCCAACGTTATGGCAACATCAAAATGTAGGCACCAAAGAGAATATATTCAACTGTAGCCCAACTGTGTACATGAATTCAGATGAAAAAGAAGTCCTTATTCTGTGTTTTGTGATGATGGTTTCAGTAAAAAGAAGGCCCTTACAGGATGGGGCAATTCTCACCACAAAAATTGTACAAAATGTCCAACACATCAGGTTCCTGTAACCTCCTGTTGACAACGCCGTAACCTTTCCCAGGCTGCACCACAACAACCTCACCATCAGGCGGAGGCTCGGTCAGCGGGTGCACTTTGTTGTCCTTTATCTTGAAGTCAGGGACGCCGGGCAGCATGCCGTTCCTCTCTGCCCATGACTTGGTGTCCTCCGAGTTGTCTTTCGGCTCCACGACGCCGTCGCTGCTGTTCGCGCTGCCCTTGCTCACCATGCTAACGTCATCCTGACATGCATCTGAGTCGCTGGCATGAGGTAAAGAAAAGTAGGTGCACTTTCTAGACAATACTTTGTTTTTTTCTTCCACTTCGGGCTTTGTGCTGAAGAGAGAATATGGAGTGTCCTCCTCTGTGTCCTTGCATATGTCCTCTTCTTTAGGAGCGTTTGTAAAGTTTTTGTTTATTCCGACTGGATCTGAAACTGACTTTCTGATCAGCGTGTTCTCTCTGAGGAGCCATTGTCCGTCATCAAGACGAACGCCGTCTCCAGGCCCGACTTGTGCATTAAAAGTAATGCATCTCGTCGCTTCGCTCAAGGTGTCCAGTGCATTGGCGGAATTGAAGTACGATAATTCGGACATCGCTTTCGCCCGAGCTGTGTGGAAAGGAGAGAAGATGCTTGGATGTTCTTTTCTTTTCTGCTTTTGCTCAGACGGGGGCCTTTCACTTGCTTCCTCGTTGGTTTCGGCGTCTTTCTTGCCATAAAGCCTTTCGATTGTTCTCCTCACAAAGCCTTTGGTAATGGATTTTCGTGCCGAGTCATCTTCACCACTGGACAGCTCACTCGAAGTCTGAGACTGATAGCCGCCGCTGACCGAGGTCTCGGCTCTTAACTCGTGTGAGCTCGGGTATCGTCTTTCCTGGACGTCCGTGGCGCTCTTCGCCAAGAACATTTCCCTGATGGATCTGACCCTGTTGCTTTCAGGCTCCGTGGTTATAACGCCGCTGGAGTCGTAGCTGAAGGATAGCGACGACTGAGGAGCTGATCGGGTGCAGAGAGCCAGCTGAGATGTGGGCGAATCAGAGGGCGAGTCCTCCTCGTCCGACTCCAGAGGGACGTTTCTTTGTGAGAAATGTCTGATGGGAGAACTTTTTGTTGTGTCTTTTCGCTTCTGAGCATCGGCAACTTGCTTTTCTAGAAGGCTTACTCTCTCTGCGACAGATTGGGATGTCACTTCCTCAGAGTGATGCTTGAGCTTTTCCGCAGCCTTTTCACATTTTGTATCTTCGGGTTGTGTTTCCACTACTGGAGCTTGGTTATACTGTATACGACTTTCCTCTACGTATCTCTCCATGTTGACTTGTTCCCCCTCAGAGCTGGACTCTTTGTCGTAGTAGCTTAATTCTTCTTCCATTGAGCTGCTGATGTGCTCATCGTTGACCATTGGTTGCTCTTCTTCTACATGTTCGTCACAGTGGTCGTTCCCACTGTCGTCATCTGCACTAAATCTAAAATGTTTTCCTAAACTGTCAGACATGATCAAACTGCTGCTATCTTTATTTGTATATGAATCCTTGTTTTCTATCAAATCTCTGCCTATAGTACTCTTGTCACAAGTTTGTGTTTCATCAGCATGAAGGTCCTCATTTTCTGAGCTGTCCATGTCTTCCTCTGCCTCTTCTATCAAAGCATTTAACCCTCTGAATTTTTTAGTTTGCACCCCATCATTTGGAGGATTATGACGGTGTTCTTCCCCCACGTCCTCCTCCTCGTCTTCAATGCCAGACAGACTTTCTTCAACAATAACCTGCAGCTCCTTAAATTCAACCTCTGGCTGCTCTTCCTCTGAAGATGATTCATCGAACTCTGAGTTTCCTGTGCTTTCCTCAACGCTGGCATTTAGACCCATACTGCATGTCTGACTCTGCTGCTCTTTCTCTGAGCTGGAAGGACGTGCAGGTTCAGATGAGTCATCTCTGTTGCTCAGCTCCTTGCATTCGACCTCCGATTGCTCTTCCTCTGACAAAAACTGATTTTCGCTCTCTGGACAGCTTTTCTTCTCTCTTACGTTCAGTTCCACATAGTTGGAACTCGATTGCTTGTCCTCTTCCTCGTCTGAGGGACTTTCAGGGTTGGACAAATCGTCAGCTTCACTGCTCTCCTGGTTTATCTCCTCACATGCAACCTCTGGCTCTTCCTCTTCTGAACTCTGCTGCTCACCTGCCTCTGAACTGGACACAGTTTGCTCACAGCTGTCTTTTCGTGCTAAATCTTTATTGGCACTCTTTTGTCCTTCCTCTTCTGACTCTGACTTATCATCATGCTCTGACTCATTGTCAGGGATATTCATGCTTTCCTCACTTTCCGTCTGCAGCTGCCTACATTCTACATCTTGTTCCTCTGGCTCTTTTTTAAGATTTGCCGTCCTGTGAGTTGTTTTTTCTTCATCGTCTTCCTGATTTTCTTGATCTACTGCATCCCTACATGAGTCCAACCCGTTCTCCTGCACAAACAATTCTGCACTGTGAAGCTGCCTTTCTTCGGGATTCTGTTTAGAATCGAGTTCAGCTGGTGGATTTTTGCTCTCACCATTCTGCCCATATTGACCGTCGCTGTCTTTAGTTGCTGGTCTGGTTGGCTTGTGTTTTGCTGTCTCTGCTATTGTGTGAGTATTATCAGTTCCAGATCGCTTTGTCTGGTTAATGTCTGTGAATCTTTTAATGATGGACCTCACATCAACATTATCTTCCTGAGTAACATTAGCACAATCTTCCGTGGAGAAATGGTTGGCGTTGGCATTTGGTGATATCTTTTCATCATTGTCACTTTTTGCACCGACTCTAAGAGAAGCCAGTTCCTCCTTGAGCTTCTCGGGTATGTCGAGGCTTTCCATGATCTCATTAATAACGCTCTCTTCAATGCCACAGTCTTGCTCTGGACCATCCTCGGTTATGAGTTCTAAGCTCTCTGGCGTCGAACTGCGACTTTTGCACTTGTCGCCGAGTTCCTGAAAGCCCTTCCAACTTTGCAGGAGCTGCTTCGAAGCTGACTGTTGCAGATTTGACAGGCTAGTTTTCAGTTTGTGGGAATCCTCAATGCTGGCAATTTCTCTGAGAGAATCGATCATTTTTAAAGCCTCTGCACAGCTGACGTTGTTGGCATTCAGCTCATCCATATTCAGGTTAGTTATGCCTTCCTTTAGGGTCATGACGGAGAGGAAAGCAAGGAGAGCTTTAGATGAGGAACCGAATGTGGAGGCCACATGAGAGGAGAAGTCAGGCAAGCTGTTGGACTTTTCCAGACACGACGGCCGCTTGTTCTGAGTCATTTGTCTTATTGACTTGATTGAGAAGCAAATCTTCTCGAGGACTGGTTTCATGTTTGGCTGGTTTGCGATGTTTAATGGCTGTGGTGTTATTTGCATATCTGTCAAGGAGTTCTCTTGATCCTCCTTATTTTCATCTCTCTGATCAGCTCCCGGTGATAAAAGAGGACCACAGGTTGGTGTTTTGTCCAGTTTAGTTTCTGATTTTACTGACTGTGGTGTTTGAGTGCTTTTCCTTTGGGATGCTGTTTTCCTTTGTGTCTTGTTTATTGGCTCTAATGGATTATCCGAGGAGAGATTTCTGGAGAGCAACTTCCTGCTTGTCTTGTGTTTGACAGGTGTTGACACCATGTCTAGAGACTGAGAATATGGAGAAGATCTTTTTTGCAGTTTTGGTTTATAAAGCTTCTGCTTTCTCTCAGTCGGAGCTCCAGCATTTGGGACAGCATGTTTTTGTATTCCAGTATTTGAAGACATATTTTTATCTGGAAGACGGATATGCACTGATGATAATTTTTGAGGGTTGCTTGGAAGTTCTAAAGAGGATTTGTTCATTTGGGATCTTCTCTCTGGAGAAGGGCTGCTTGTTAGTTTTGCTTTTTTCGCCATTGTTTTAGGTGAGGATGCGTCTTTTTGAGGTAAAGATGGTGTTTTTGTCTCTTTAATTTGAAGATTTCTTTTCATCGAAGCCTCACTTGATGAAACGCTGGGCGATGACGCTCTTTCTTCAGATGTTAAACTTACTGGGGACACAGAAGTACAACATGATGGACTGCCCATCAGATCTGAGATTGATTGATGCGTCTCGTCTGGTGCTGCTTTGATTGATTGCTCAGTCCCGGTTAAACAGATGCCATTTGGCAGCCCATCATAACCCACAGTGCTGATGGGAGCAGACAATGCACTCGTCTCTGAATGGACGTCACTGCTTAAAGTGTATTTATCCAGACAAGCCTTTCTGAGAAACATTTTCTTTTCAAGAGACACATTACTGACCAAAGGGGCCCTTTTAATAGATGGAGTTGTTGGTAATGGTGCTTCCCTCGATGGGGAAGGAACGTCAGTGTGAACTGATGTTATTTCCATCGTGCTGTCGGTTGGTGATGCAGCCTTGTCTGATGTAGGACTGTTAGATGAAGGGTGATTATCTGTGCTTTCACTGCTCAAGGATGAGACCCTGTATATTGAGCTGCTGGCCACTGATGACACATCGCTCATGCAATATTCAGTGTTTGATAGCTCAGGTGGAGGTGGTGGTAGATCCATTGAAAGTGTATTGGTAGGTGTTGCTTTTTGAAATGAGATTTTGATTGCGGATGATTTATGTTCCACTTCACCGCATAATGGCATTTCTGTTGAGGTCTTACTAGTTGGTGCAATCATTTGGGAACAGATGCCATTTGAAAGAGGATTTGTTTCTTCAGTATTTATCTGAGAAACGCTTCTGCAGTTGTCTGCTTTTGTTGTAGTTGTCTGATTATGAGCAATATGCTGACCGACTGAAGTTGTCTCCGCTGGTGGACTTGATTTGTTTTCGAAAGACTGGACTCTTAGTTTGACAGATGTCCCCAACGGATTCTCTGGTGGTTGTTCAGAAGTTTGACATGTTTCCGATGTCTCTGCCAAACACTTTACCTTTTCTTCTGCAATGATCAAGCCATGCTTCTTCTCAGACTCTTCACATCTGTCATTTTCTGTTACTTCCTCTTGTTTTGTACTTTCCTCATTTGGATACAGTGGCAGGTTGAGATGAGCTTTCTCCAGCCAGTTCTCTACATATTCATTAGTGACAGAGGTGGAGGAGTTAAAAGCAGGCAGTGACATGCTTTCGCTAATATCACAGGATTCGTTTTCGCTCTTTTTCTCCATATGCATTGATGTCTGCCGTGTCAATATTCCTCGTGGTTGGCTCACCACAGTGCCCAACCTGTTTGATTCAAAAGAACCTCTCTCAGTCATGTTTTCTTTCAGTGTTGAAGCTTTGTTTGGGTCTTTAACCACAGTTTTTGTTGTACCATCCGTCACTTGTGAGCTATTTGTTGTAACATCCCCGTTTTGTTTCTGCCTCTTTTTTAGCCTTTTCATAGTTTTTGCTGATTTAAATTTATTTCCATAAATTCTCTTTATGAACCCAGCGCTGGAGAAAGTTGGAGGCGTCCTTACTCTCTTACGTGGCTCGGTTGCTCCTGTGAAATTCTCTTTTTGTCTTTTCCCTGGTGTAAAAGGCCGCTGAACATGTTTGTTGATCACCTTGGTTTTTGGGGATACCCTCTTTTCTTGGGGCCTGACTTGGCCTTTTGTGAGCTTTTGGAATTGCTGTTTACTTGCTGCTTGAACTGAAACAGTCTTCAGTGACGGCAAATTTAATTCTGATGTTTCCGACACGCTTTCAGCTCTCCAGATATTAACGGACTCGGAGGCAGTTGAAGGTCTCCAGAGCTCTGGTTCAAATTCGTTTGTTAAGGAAAGATGCCCAGTTCCTGCAGTTGCTGGCCTGCCTAAAGTAATCCCAGAAGCAGACATGCTGTGTGCACAAACATTTGCAAGGAAATTTTCCTGGCAAGTCTGTTGTTCGTATATGTGTAAGACAGTTTCAGTGACCTCCTCTCCACTGGATTCAATCTGCATTATTCCTGTTGATTTGAATGCAGAGACATTTCTACTATTGGTGTCCACAGAGCCAAGTCTTCTCGGTTTAGGCACTGGTCTAGTGCTACTCTGTTTGATCATACAGTACTGCTCTGTCATGGTTCGATTTTCTGTCTTTTCTCTGTAAGAATAAGATCCAATCATTCCCTCCTGAATCCCATCTGGCGTCACCGATTTGATGCTCTCCATAGAAGCTTGCTTTGTGCTAATTTGTTTGTGTCCTGGGGTAGGAGCTCTCCCGGGGGACGCCACATCGGTGTGGTTTTTGATCTCATCCTCTTCAGTACCAGTCTCACTGAAAGCGCCATTGCTCGGCGACGGTGGATCCTCGTCATTGTTGTCTTTAGTTCTATCCTTGTTGAAGGTGTCGATGGAAGAAGTAGGACTTTGTAAATCCAGTGAGGTGGATTTCAGTGAGCACATCTCTTGCTCTGCTTCAGGCTCCGGTAAACAGGCTGCATTGAGCTGACTGGCTACACTTGAGCGTGACAGGGTGGTCGTCCAGTGGATGGTTTCCTCTTCCTTAATCGTCAGCCGCACCTTCATCTCCACTGTCATGCTGCCATCCTGATTCACCCGAAAGGACTTCTCAATGTCGTCCTCGCTGGGCAGCGAACATGTCTGTCCGTCAACTCCATCGCCGAGGCAGGTGTCTCCTTCCGTCTCTGCTACCGACTCCAATATACGACTGGACTCAAACTCGACAGAGTTCGTGGGATTGCTGTGTATTTCACACGAACTCTCTGCGATGGTGTTATGAATCTGATGAACAATGTACCTCTCAGATGATGGGGAAAAATTTCTTGACTTTGAAGAGTATGGCAGAGACTTCTTTTTAACTTTTGAGTCAGTCGAAAGAGCCAATCAGATGCAAAAAATGTCAAGAGATAAAGTAGAAATATCCAAGGATAGGTGGCAATTTGAAGGACAATCCCAGAGAAGCGTGACAGGAGAAAGAAGAAAAGAAAAGTTAGACAGACAGTACGTTGCTTATCAAGAACAAAAGCCAGCAGCAGTGCAGACAGTGTATGTAGGCCATCTACGGTATTACGCGCAATATTATTGCATCAGCACTTTGCCAAGCTTTATCCTATGAGACCAGGTAGATTACTGTAGCCACATTGAAGTGTGCCGTGCTAGTAAAGGTCCACTGGACTGACACAACTCCTCAAAATGTACTTGTGAAATGGTCTCGTCTACTGAAAATCTAGATGAGTATATAAACGTACGGTTCAAAGCCTTTTGTCTTCGGACACCCATTCGGTTGGTATGCAGCCATGTTGGAGCTGGTGATTTCTGTGCAGAGTAGATTGCAGGTCTGAAAGGCTCCCTGCCTACAGCAACCACAGTCCCAGAACACAATATCAAGCCTGGAAGACCATCAACCTGCAGCAGACAGAAAAAAAACAACAATTAGTCTCTTCTACATAGTGGCACAATTATCATCTGATTAAAAAAATATTATTAACCTTGATTCTAATAATCAATCCAACAAGTCCAAATTAAATGCATGTATGTGTACAATAAATCCAAATTAAATGCATTCTTTACTGTGATACCTGCAGGCTCTGAACTAATAACAGAGCCTTGACCTAAAGCCTTACAGTGCAGTATCCCAGAATGCCTTTCTGGGTATTAGGGTGAGTTGCTAAAGAAGCTTAAGACTTTCTCTCCTCATGTGACGGTTATTTCGTGCCAGGGTTAGGTCAGTGCTTCATGGGTTAATAATGACAATGATCTCTTTGCATTAGCAGGAGAGGAAGAGTCCTGTGACTTTATTCTGGTGTTTCCAGTAAGTCGATAGGCTACGCTGCCTGTAAAAATCCTACTTTTTCTTAGAAAGAATTGTGTTATAGTGACAGAGGAGAACACTCACACGTCTGCCATCAGGAGTGTGTAATTTCACCACATGGAACTGCAGCAGTGCTGAGATGTATTCCAGGATAGCCTCATAGCTCAGGATGGTCTTCTTGTTGAGCACCACGGTGTGTTTTGCAGTGGGGTCTCCATTGCGAAACACCAGCAGCCTCTTCGGCGTTCGCACAAGCACCTGCTCCTGCTTGTGGATGCTTCGGCCTGGGAAAAACCTGGCCTGCTGTACAGTCCGGCGTCGAGAACTAACGGGCCTGGCGTGGTACCAAGGCGGCAGCTTTTTCCTGGCCAGGGCCAGATTGATAGGTTTTACCTTACGGCTGTCAGAGCAGATGTAGGATTTTCCATCCTCGAGTTCATCCAAAGTGTTGATCGCGTGAACTCCCCGGGGGGTTGTTATGTTTCTCACCCCGAACGGCAGGGGAACCTTCTTAGAGAGGCTGTCCAGGAGCGCGTCAAAGGTTTTAAAGGTGCGGTTGTTGATGACCAGGCGCAGACCGTTGAACTGAGGGTCGCCACTTTTGTAGAAGCAGACCCGCTTTGACAGGATGGGGTCAATAATGCTCGGGTGGCGTTGGGTGCCAAAAGTCTGCCCACTCCCTGAATACTGTTCAGGGAGGATCCTGCGAAGCCCTGTTTCATTCATCATCGTTGATTGGCTGCAAAGGGAAAGAAAAGAGAAGATACAGGTTAGAAAGAACAATGAACTTTCCTCTCGTCTTGCTACTCTTAGGCTGCTGGACTTTGTTAGAAAAACAAGCCCCAGACTTTGACATTCACATTTGGAGTTGTGTGGTTTGAAATCCTCCCCTGGTTTTGTCTAAATGAAAGTTGTACCATCAAATCCATAAATGAGGAACTCTGACTCATTCAAAAATAAGGCATCTCCAAAAGCTACTATGCAGTTTCTTATGCAGTTTCATTCTCACACTCAATCTTATTCAAAACAATCTCTAAACCGAAATGTATCTGGTGAATCTCGTTGGTCTCTAAAGTGATTGTTGCTGCCATTTTTCATGATTTTACCCACAACTGTTGGGTCAAATCTTCTGCCAATCTTGTTTTCAATCACAGGACCTCCTTTCTTGAATACTTTGACAGTTTGCCCAGCTGTTGAAGATGGTAGCTGGAGGTTTCTTTTTTGCTGATCTAACAATACAGTGGCCTTCAGTGTGAAAACAAACACTTTGTTTACCTTTTTCTCTGAGCTTAATTCACTTGTCTTTGACACTTCTAACCAGCTCTATGTAGTTTATAGTAGATGCAGACAGAACTTGTCCAAATAACCCTATTTAGCTGTTTTAGCAGAAAATGATTCATAACTTGTGCTAAATCTATTATTTAATGGACCAAATACAAGTTTAACGTTTCATAAAAGTACTTTTTGATCCTCACTAAAGTTTGCTATTGAACTGTTTGACTGGTCACATGTTTCTGGGCCACAGTGTCAAACATAAAACTCTGTGGTAAAGAAAACCGTCTCACAGGACCTTTGTAAAGGGATCAACACACAAACAACACAACATCTTGTTCAAGGCAACCTAAATAATTTATCATGTGTAAACAGCTAAATGACGTCTTGCAAGCATATGTTGTTTACTTGGTTAGACTGCGGCCATCAGGTAGCGTGACCTTGCCTCTGCTAAACCGGTCAGGTGAACGTTATCTTCAATTATTTAATTAGTTAGGTTTTAACAACACGCCGAGGCTCAGCAAGTGATACAGACATGTTTGGCAGATAATTCTCTTTTACCAGAACTTCTTTTAGCATTTATGTAAGAGTAAAAGAACAATTTTATACCAAATGTGTTAGTTACTAATTATATTTATCTCTCAAAACAATTTAAATCAATACATTTTTTAAAAAATTAAGCATTGAATTGCAAATGTATTGTGGATTTTACATGAGAAATAAAGAATAAATCAGATTTTATCAAATAAATATGTAAATTTCATATTTTTAAGTTGACAAATAGTATTTCAGAGGTTTTAATTTGCATTAGCAGTGCAGTAGTAGCAGCTTTAGTATCAACCTTCAGCAAACCATCATGAAATCTTTGTGCATTTTTAGGGCAAAAGTATTTTTAGTTCCTGATAGCAAAATGAAAACAAATCTAATGAAAGTGTTTTGGCCATGTGGCATTTCAGACACTGTTAATCTAACACTTCATTACACCTGGAGACTGCATACCACTTAAAACAAAAATTAACAAAAGCCAGCAAACAAATGCACCGCTGCAGGATTTGAAAGGAAACTCACCTTCGTTGGCATCACAAAAGTCTCGAAAGGCTCCATGAAACGAGATTCCGTGCTCTACATCATGACGGCCGCTGAACGAACTGCACAGTAACAGTGTATTTCGGGAGGCGTCGTCGTGGTTAATTTGCCTAATCTTTGCTCAGAGTTAATCTCCGCTGCAAGTGCAGTGCCTGGAAATCCTCTTCGGGAAGGTGTGTCACACAGATGCTAGCAGAGCTGTCACTGCAGGTTGGAGGAGAGGCCTGTAAGGGCCACCGATTTATTCGGCTAAGTATTTATTTTGTATTAAAATGGGCCTCTAACACGTTCATGCATGCAGTTTAACCTGCTGACATGTATGTTGCCAATTGAAGGGCAGAAATCTCACCCATGTTTCAGATGTTTTAAATATCTTCCAGTGTTGTTTCCTTGAGTCTGAAGTCGGAGGCCACACAGGCTAAATGTGAGAAGTGTTTCCTCTATCAGTGACGGCAGATGCTAAATTGCCATCCTCTTGTAATATTCGTGCAGGTTGTAATCTCATTAGAGACCTCTTTAGGTAATAAGGATTAAGGGGTTCTTCATTCTTACGACCCTCAGAGAGGAGCACTTGTTTTCAATGAAAGGAGTGAAAAAAAACAAACCTTATTACATCTAAATAATCAGATTATTATTTCATAAATCATATCACAGATTCCTTTTGTCTCTGGACATTTGCTTTGACCCTGTGTGATCTGAACACACACACTGCATGAGCAGAAAGTTAAAAATAACTCGAACATTCTTATAATAGCAAACACACACTGACGGGCCTTCACAGTCGCCACTAAAATACACATGTAATGAAATAGTGCTAGTGTTCTAGAAATACAATTAGGTTCAGAAGGCTAGTGGAGTCCAGTAGATTAGGTTGAAGCGTATTACTGAAGGTATTAACCGGTCATGTATATCCTTAACCATGAACTATCTCGTGTTGCATAACAGTTACCAAAACCGGACCGAACGGAGTCTATTCCTGTGTGGGATTAGTGGACAAGGGATGACTTCATTCCACAGTAAACCTGGGGCTGGAGTGAAGGAATCAAAGGAATATACAAACGTTATCAGGTTTCAGCTCAGTATAAAAGGATAAAGTGATAACACTCCATCATACTGTTTAGTGCTGCTGCTGTCAAAATATCTCAGGTGTGTAGGAAACAGAGAGGGAAGGATTCCTGCTGAGCCCGACCAGACGGGAGATTCAGGAAGGCTCCCGTGATCCAACCCATGACCTGTTCCCAAAACAACAAGCAGCGCAAAAATGTGAAAAATCCTTCAAAAGGAAGCCGAGGAGGGGGGTGGTGGTGGTGGAACAATGGAGGAAGCCCTCAGCGTAAACAGGTAGGCCTGAAGCCTGCATGCCCCTCATTCCTGGCCCTCCACTGCGGAGATAAGAGGCGAGCAAATGTTGAGGGTAAAAAAACCGGCTGGTCACACTGATAGAGCGGCGCGGATCCTGCCAAACATACCCGAATCGGGACTGGAAATAGGCCGAAAGCTCAGCGCTCAATGCAGCATGACAGGTAGCGGCAGCGAATGCGTGAGGCGCCATTTGTCACATGGTTATAACAAACCAGCTGCTGATATGAATACTGTTATTTTCCCTTCACATGATTACACGTGAAATCACACGTCGCCATGTCGGAGGTATCTGCCTCCGCGTTCCGGGTGCACTGCGACCCCCCGCCGCGCTCTATTTTTAAGCCCTTGCGCCTATACTGCAACTAATTGGCGCCAAGTTAGATTCAAACCTATGTTGTTAATGGGAAAAAATGTGTGATATGTTTTGGCCCTTGTCCCCTTTCTATATTTGGCCCAGCGTCCTCTATGCAGCTGCTCCTCCAGATCTGTCCCCCCTGTGTTCCCATCAAACACCTCTCTTTAGTCGGCATATATTGCCTCAATTCAAGAGGCTCCGTTAGCGCCCGCTTAAAACGGCAGACATACATTTGTAGCTGCATGGAACACAAGTTTGCTCTGATGTTGAACACGTGTCACGTTAAATGAAATGCTCAGCTTATTTTTTATTTTTTTTCCCCCCAGCCCTCAGAACTGGTTAAAATTCCTGGCGTTGCAGCTGTCAGGAATTCAATTAAAAGCGATACAGCTGCACTGTGGCCGAAAAACCGTTTCAAACACTCGGTGCAATTTAGCTTTTGTGGTATCCAAAATCACACCAGAAATAAAAAAAAAAAAAAATAAAAAAAAGCAATAATGTTGATAAATGACTTTTTTCCCTTGGGGGCCATTTAGTGTGAGCTAAAAAATGTGGTTTGGCAGCGGTTGAGACAAAAATATGCTTACTATTCCAAATTCCATTCAGGTTACATCTATCCTCGACTTCCAGTGGAATTCCCAGATTTTGAATGAATTCCTGCCAAACGGGACTCATAAGGTCACGCCGCCGCCGCCCGATCCCCTCCCCAGCAGTCAGAGGTCCCCACCCCGTCCATTTTGAGCGCTCCGTATCAGCTGTGCCAAGCTTTTAATCTGCCTGGTGACATCCCAGTGTTTCCTGCATGGGACAGAGGCAGAGATAAGCACGGTCCTCTGTGCCGTAAATCACTCCGCACTCCCACTCATTCCCTCATATTGCCATTATTCAATTAGGCCGCGCTCAAACCGACCACAATTCTTGGTAATTAGGCCTGGACCTTATTGTCACGCTTCTAATCTTTTGCTCTCTCGGCAACATCTGCTTTAATTGTTCAGTGACTAACATCCTAAAGCGTTTATCAGAAGCTAAGCATGTTTTGAGGTATTTGCAGACTATAAATTAACTGTTATTTCTGTAATCTAAGAAGCAACGTTATAATGAAAAATCTACTGTAGATTTATTAACTGGGAATTTAGTGTCTCAACCTCCAACGGTGTGTCTAGATCTTTATTTACAATTTATTTATACTCTACAAAATATTATTTACTACATTTATGTATTATTCAGTTTTATACATTCAAACAGGAACTAAATAAACCTCATTTGAATAACTTCAACACCCATATGTTTTGCGAGCACAACCACAGTTAGCCCATCTAGCTTCACTAGCTTACCAGTCTGGCTAATGTTAGCTTAGCATTAGAAATAGCTTTGGTGAATTAGGCAACAACTATTTCAAGGGGAAAAAGAAATTTTGTAATAACCTTGAAGTGTTGAAACTATTTCTACATCATTAGCTAAGTGTGACCCATGTGACAGGGGGCTTTCGAATGTTAAATCATGTTTTATCATGGCTAATTAGCTCGTATTAACTTAAGTCAAGGTCCTTTCTAACTAAAAAATCTTTAATAAAAACTGTAAGAAGACATACTTACGTAATCATTTCTATGATGCTAAACTTGCTATATGAAGTTGAAATTTTCAGTTAAAA